GGACGTGCGTCGCTCGCTATGATGCGTCGCTCGCTATGCAGGTACGTTAATAGTAAAGTAAAGAAAGCCTAATATACGAAATCCGAGCTATTGGCCTAGCGAAAGCACTTACGAAAAGAATAAAGAAGGTAAACCTCGAGGCCCTTCGTCTCCTAGCTATACTTATTAAATTCCGTAAGCTATTCTAGCCCGACGAAGCTACTAACTTGCTACTATATCGCCCTAGAGTCGACTATGAGATCCTTGTTAAGTAGGATAATGACGGTAATAAGGCCGTATTACCCTAGGGACCGCTCTACGGTATATTACGAGAGGAACTCCTTACTCTTTATAAGACCTTACGAGACCTCTTAGATAAGGGATTTATCCGTACTAGTAGCTCCAAAGCCTCCGCCCTAGTACTATTCATATATAAACCGGGCGGAGGGATATACTTTTATATAGACTATTAGGTACTTAATAAAATTATAAAGTACGACCGATATCCCCTCCCCTTAATTTGAGAGATACTATATATTATTAATATTACTAAGTGGTTTATAAAACTGAACGTAATAGTAGCGTTCTATAAGATCCAAATTATTAAAAGAGAGGAGCATAAAACAGTCTTCCGGACTAGATGTGGCCTTTTTAAGTAGCTGGTTGTACCCTTCGGGCTTACAGGGGCCCCCGCTACGTTCCAACGGTACATTAATAGTATATTACGAGAATACCTCGACGACTTTGTAATGGTATATATGGACGATATCCTAATCTACTTAAGCGGCTTATAACGAGATTATAATGTAAAAGTCCGGCTAGTATTACGTAAGCTAGCTAACGTAGGCCTATAGCTAGACCTAAAGAAGTGCGAATTCTTAGTTAAAATAGTTAAATACCTAGGCTTTGTAATAATAGCTAGGGTTAGTATCTCTTATGACCTTAAGAAGTTATAAATAATTAAAGAGTAGGCTATATTAAAGACGGTTAAAGGAGTCCGAAGCTTCCTAGGATTTACAAACTACTACCGGATCTTTATCTTAATACATTTAGAGATCGCTAGACCCTTTATAGCTCTTATAAAGAAAAATATCTTATTTTACTAATATTTACTAATAACGAGGAACTTTAGCAACTCTAAAATCAGACTTAGGAGTAGGACGAGGTTTATTAATAGGTCTATATTATTATGAAATAATAAGAAAGAAGCTTCCCTCTGAGCCTTAAGCTAAGGGTTTAGATTACTGAATATAGAATCGATAATAATAACCGACTACTATTTAAAACCCGAATCTAGGTACCGGGTAGTAAAGATCTTAATAATAAAGTACGTACCTATATTATCTAGAGTACCTACGACTCAGTACTTAGCGGCCACCTAAGAAGAGACAATACCTTGGTGCTAGTTAAAAGATACTTCTACTGGCCTAGTTAGTCGCGACTAGTACGACGCTTCTACCGTAACTACGATAATTATAGATAAAGCCATATCTAGAGAGAGCGACGAAAGGGACTCCTAAAACCCTTATTAATATTATAATACTTACAAAACGACCTTACTATAGATTTCATTATAGACCTACCCTTTATAGATAAGATTAAGAGGTTTTTATAAATAATTATCAATTAACTAGTTAAAGGCGTAACTCTTGAGCCGATAGAGAGTATAGAGGCCGAGGCCTATACCGAACGTTTCTTTATTTATTATTTATTATTTTTATAATAACTATCCTTATATTAATTATAAGCGATAGAGGGAGTAATTAGATAAGCCGCTTTTAGTAGTACTTTTATAAATTATTAAAGGTCGAGTAGCGGTTAAATATTATTTATTACTTATAAACTAACGAAAGCCTAGAGAGGATAAACTAAGAGATCTAGGCCTACTTATATAACTATATTACCTACTCATAAAAGGACTAGGCATGGAACCTTCCGGCAGCCTAACTAGCGCTTTATAACCGCGATAATAGCACTATTAGGATAAATAGTTTATTTTTAAAACACGGATACTATCTAGAACCTATTATAGTTAAAGAGGCGGCCCCGATGGACCCTAAGGGCCCCCAAGAGGACGCCGTACGTAAGCTAGTTACGAAACTTTAGGATATAATAAATATAGCCCAGTCAATACTCGCTATAACTCAGTAGCGTTACAAGGAAGCTACTAATACTAAGCACCAACCAACGGAAAGACTAGAAGTAGGAGATAAGGTCTAGCTACACATAGGGCATTATAGGTCCCCTAGGCCGTATAAGAAGCTGGACTAGATATATTATAAGTACAGCGTTACGAAGGTTATATTGCCGTATATGGTCGAGCTCGATTTACCGAGTACTTTAAACCCATGATTCCATGTCGACGTGCTAAAGCATGCTGGCGATAACCCTTTGCCCAGATAAGCAACAGACAACAGCCAGCCGCCTCTAGTCCTAGATGATAAAGGCGAAGAGGTTTAGGTGGTCGAGAGTATTAATGCAGCTACCTAGAAGCATCGAGGACAACAGCGCTAATGAAAGGTACTAGTAAAATAGCAAGGATATATAAAGCGAACTTAGGAGTCTATCGAGGCGCTCTAGGATATAAAAGTAATAAAACCTTATAAATACCGCTATAGCCTAATAACAAAGTATAATAAAGACCTGGTGTTAGCGCCGTGAGCGCGCCGTTAGAGGGGGATAGGAGGGTGATATTACGGGTTAGAGCCCGGTTAAGATCTCCTGCCTTACTAGAGCCGTACGTATACCCCTCTGCTAAGAAGCTGTCCGACCGTGACCTATAATAACTAATTATTATATTGGATTAACGTGCTTGATAAGCGAGTGTCGCAACCAATTGCAGCTACAGCATAACAACGCAATCGATGACTTTTCTTCCACAACAAACCATGGCGCTAAGTAATAAAGAATCCCAAATACAACTAGCCCTTCAAGCTATCATAAATGACCCAAATCTTAGCGCTCGGGCTGCAGCTAAGATATACTCAGTCTGCTCTAGGACGCTACATCGGCGAATGAAGGGCATTCTATCACGACGCGACACGATACCTAACTCACGGAACTTGACAGCGCTTGAAGAAGAGAAGCTGGTTGAGTATGTTCTTGATCTGGATTCCCGATCATTTCCTCCCTAGATTAGTGGTGTGGAAGATATGGCCAATCGTCTGCTTGCTGACCGCGACGCGCCCCCGGTTGGCAAGCGCTGGGCTTCAAACTTCTTTAAGAGACAACCAAGGCTCCAAACGCGTTCTTTTTGGAAGTATGACTATAAGAGGGCCTAATGCGAAGATCCAGACGCGATAAACGCGTGGTTTCGCCTTATAGCAAACACAATCGCGAAGTACGGCATCGTGGACTCCGATATCTATAACTTTGATGAGCCTGGGTTTATGATGGGCCAGATTGCATCCGGAGTGGTTGTTATAAGTGCCGAAAGGCGTTCAAATACGAAGATGATGCAGCCTGGTGACCGCGAATGGGTTATAGTTATCCAGGCTATCAGTTCGTTGGGCTATAGCGTCCCGCCGTACATTATCGTTATAGGGCAACATCACCTCTCTACCTGGTATATGGAAGCAGGTCTCCTACGCGACTGGGTCATCGCAACATCTGAAAACGGGTGGATAACAAACGAAAGAGGCCTAGATTGGCTCCAGCACTTTGATCGGCATATAAAACCGCGTGTAATTGGCAGTTATCGCTTCCTCGTCGTCGATGGGTACGAAAGTCACCATGCCGCCGACTTTGAGTTATATTGTAAGGAAAACAATATCGTTACGCCCTGTATGCCAGCCCATTCGTCTCATCTGCTTCAGCCCTTAGACGTTAGGTGTTTTAGGCCACTAAAGAAGGCTTATGGTCGATAAATTGAGGATAAGATGCGACGGGGTAATACCCATATTACGAAGGAGGACTTCTTCCCTGCATTCCATAAGGCTTTCACGAAAGCACTTATAGATCAAAACATCCGGGGAGGCTCCAGAGGAGCATGGCTTGTCCCCTTAAGTGCAGAGAGTGTGCTATTGAAGCTTGACGTGAAGTTACACACTCCAACACCTCCAGGATCACTCCCTGGGTCACCAGCTCCTTGGGTTTCTAAGATACCAAACAACCCAACTGAGGCTACTTCTCAGTCTACCTTAATTAAGGATCGAATCTCCCGTCATCACAACAGCTCCCCAACGCCTATTAACGACGCTGTTGACCAGTTTACAAAGGGGGCAGTAGGGATTATGCATCGGCTTGCCTTAATGGAATCTGAGATTAGAGTCCTTCAGGAGGAAAAGAACCTACTTAGCCGGCGCCGGAGAGCTAAGGAAACCCGTCTCAGACAAGGAGGAAGCCTTACTATAGCTGAGGGAGAGGACATTTAGTCCCAGAGGGAGGCAATAGCCCAGCTTGGGGAGGAAACTTGTCGGAGTAGTGGTCGCCGGCCGAGGACGGAAATAGCTTAACGGCGATGTGGCGTCTGCGGAAACACTGGCCATAATGCGCGAACATGTTAGTTTAATGAATAAATGTCTGAGGAACAGGATTCGGAGAAGTCTTGATTGTTTTTATGTTTTTAGTGTTGCTCCTTGGTTGCTCCTTGGTTGCATTTATCTTACAGCTGCAATCAGTTGCGACACTCGCTTATTAAGCACGTTATTAAATTTAATTATATTATAGGCCGGAGCTGGTCAAGATGTCCGGCTTTGCGGGAGCTATCATTCTACCGTAATATACTACCAGGTCTAGGTATATTATACTATACCTATATGCAAACCCCTATAATTCCTCCTTTTCCTCCTCAGCTTAGAATAGTTAATCGACAGCACCTCTACGTTAAATAAGCCTAGGGGCCAGCTCCTTACAATTAGCCCGTATAAATAATTAAATTTAACAAAATTATTTCCTTTTTATTATAAATATTATTATTATTTAGAGAGGCTTATAAGAGCTATTTTAATTATTAGCTTATTATTTAAACCTTATTATTAATAATAATAATAAGGTTAACTAACTACATTTATTATATTTATGGCTGCGTGGCTTAGTGGTGTAAGTGAGGCTACGCCTATGCACGCTCGCTTTTTAGCGAATCCTATAGATGCCCGGTTCGAACCAGGGCGTAGTTACCGTTTCTACTATTTATTAGCGACCACGAGCAATAGGTACGTACCTATAAGGTCCTATATACATAATAAGGCGGCTAGCATTACGGCTGATTAAGGTTAATCCTTTATTATAGATGCGCTTAGTATCTAGGTTAAGTAGAGTAGTATATAGCTTATATATATACGTATAAATTAATATAATTTCGTATTATATACTAGTTATATATAAACTATACGTTATATAACTTAAAATCTTTAATACGTTATATAGGCTGATTAGTAATATATACGTTATATAAATATTATAATCTGTTAAATAAATACGGCTGAACTAGTTAACTTAAATTGGATTACCCGGATATAGGCATAGCGTATTATATACTAAGATAATGAACCGTATTAAGTAGGTTTTCCGGAAATCTTTAGTATTATTATATAAGCGTGCGCGCGCCCAATTATTTGTAATATTAATAGAGTTGTTTAAAAAAAAACTTGTAATACAAAAAGACATTATACTATTTTATTAATACATTTACGTTGACGTTAGTTATAAGATTTATAATATAAATTTAGCCAAAGAAGGAGCTAAGCCCGTGTCACGGTAGCAGGCAGGTTGTTTGGCAGGTGGATGCTGGGCAGGCGGATCAGACAATCTATTGCTACGGGCAGGCTCTATCCTAAGCAGGTAAAGGCCTTGTTGACAAAACGTAGCTCAAGGAGCTACGTTTCTGGACATGCGCGACAGAATACAGGATGCAGGCTTTTATCCAGCCTCAGGCTTACGTAACCCGGCCACCGGATTACTCAACACCAACCTCAAGGTTGGGGGCTAGGACAGCGAGTCTGTGACAGCCCGAGAAGGTTAGACTTATTAATAAGTATTAATTATTATTAATATATAACGTACCTGCATAGCGAGTGGGCCAACATAGCGAGTGGGCCACTTTTCCTTCTTTCTACCTCTTTCACCTTTACACTAACATTCCTCCACGTACGAACATGCAATCTACCTCAATTGAACGTCGTATCATCCTTGCCATCCAGGCTATCGAAAAAGACCCAAAAATGTCTATACGAAAAGCAGCTTCTACCTTTGAGGTCCCTCGAACGTCGATCCAAAACCGACGCGCTGGACGCGTCGTACGAGGCGAGACGCGTCCAAATTCAATGAAGATGACTATATCTGAAGAGGAGGTGATTCTTGAATGCGTTATTGACCTAATTAATCGAGGTTTTCCCCCGCGACAAGAAGACGTACGAGATATGGCCGACCGACTCCTTTCTAAGCGCGACGCGACGCGTGTTGGACCCCGATGGGCAGAGAACTTCGTACGACGACAACCCCAATTGAAAATGCGATTTCGACGTCGAATCGACTATCAGAGGGCCTTAGCTGAAGATCCTACGATTATACAAGGCTGGTTTGCACTCGTGCGAAACACAATTACAAAGTATACTGCAAGGAACAAAACATTATCGCTCTTTGCATGCCTCCCCATTCATCGCACGAGCTTCAGCCTCTTGACGTTGGTTGTTTTAGCCCGTTAAAGCACTCGTACGGCAAGGAAATCGAGAAGATGATGCGGATGCAGATTTCGCATAGTACAAAGGACGACTTCTTTCCTGCTTTTAAAGCAGCATTCTTTGCTTCAATGGGCGAAAACAACGTACGAGCTGGTTTTAGGCAGGCAGGCCTTGTACCATTAGACCCAGAAGTAGTCATTTCTCGCCTGGATTTCAAGCCAAAGACGCCAACACCCTCAACCTCACGGCCAAGCAGCCAAGGCTCCTGGGACGCAAAGACACCAACTACAGCACTAGAGGGCGTACGAAGTGCTACATCCCTTAACAAGAGGATCCAAGCACATCAGGGTAGCTCACCAACAGCAATGTACGAAGTAATTGACTTCCAGGCCAAAGGTATTAGCAAGTTAGCCCATAGGCTTGCTATTATTGAGGCTGAGAACCGTAAGCTTCGTACGGGGATAGAGGTATTAAGTAAGCGCCGGAGGGCAAAAAAGACCCGACTACGTCTTGGAGGGTCACTTAATACTGCTGAAGCAGAGGCACTACAAGGACAAAAGGGTGGTGTTGATGTTGGAGGGAAGAATAACCCTCAGAAGGAGGGTCGTACGGAAGGCGCTGAACCACGCGCGCGACGATGTGGCAATTGCGGAAAGACTGGACATAACGCACGAACCTGTGAAGTAGTTTGGGACAGTAATGAGGAAGAGGATGATGAGTAGTTTTAATTAATTTTGTACGTTGTAGCTAAATTAACTTACATAAAAGGTAGAAAGGTAGAGGAAAGTGGCCCACTCGCTATGCAGGTACGTTATTATAATATTTATTTAAGTAATAGTTTTATTCAATAGTTTTATTCAATTGTTTTAGTTTCTCTACCCTAATGCTTATAAGGTAGTTTTACTTATAAGTAATAAAATATTTACATAAAATATAAAATGTTAAAATATAATAAAGATAGAAAGAATTTTCATGAGCTCTAGTATAAAAAATATTAATTATACTAGCCTTTTCTTCAAAAGCTTTTACGTTAAAATTATAGTTTAAAATATCTTTAATAAATGAGGCTACTTTTAATTTTTATAGCTAACGTTAATAACTAACTTTTATTATTGTCCTTAACGGCCCGCGCTATTATATAAATAATAAATAACTTACTTACTTTTTAAGGTTGAAATTTTATGCTTATAAAGCTAGAAACAAAACCACTATATATTTTAATAGGCCTTTAGTTATTATAGTTATATAATATATATAATGCACTTTAATCTAATTCTTTTTAAACTTTATTAAGATAGTGAGAGTATCCACTTATATTACGTATTTATATTGTAGATCACGTATTGAGCACCGCCTTATGAGCAATAGGGCAGAGAAAATAAACAAATAGTTGACCCTAAATATGTGCTTAATTTAATAGAGACTTAAAAACGGCTTACTCAAAAGTGCTACCCAACCCACTACGATCAGTTCTCGAAACTGCAATAGCGGCCCCGCGTTGCAGCGTAGAAGGTACCGGCTTTTGGTCGACCGACATCACGAAAGCACGAAAGCACGAAAGCTCGATACCCAACGTCCACCCTCTCCTAGATCATGATCGATTCCCTGGCTACATATTCATCACTGCCATCGTCGAACTCGGCTCGGCGGCAACATGTGGCCTCATTGCCAGGCACCGTGGGCTAGGCGTCTCCCAGTTGTCACGTCGATATTGGCACTCTTCAGCACCTCAATGGCGAGCCACGTGTCCGACGAACTAGACACCACACCTACCAACACCCAGATCGCCTTTTGCCAGTTCAAGACGATCAACTACATCACGCACACACTTCCTCAACAGTGTCTGACAACTAGCTGGCCAGGCAGCAAGGCTATCAGCGATGGCTCGACACCAATAAACGACAGCACAAGACCGCCTCCCGACAATTCCCTGAAAACTACGCCGAGCGCTGGAGATACCGTGGTCGCTGTCACCGACGTGCCGACATCTGACCGGACCGGTAACGACAACCCAAATCCGTCTCTCACGGAGACCGCGACCGACGATGAAGTCACACCGAGGCCTTTCATGTCCTTTGAAGAATGGAAGGAGATGATGCTCCGCAAGGCTGGCCAAGACCCTTCGGAACTCAAGGCCCGGAAAACAGTTGAGCGCGCGACTGAGCATGACAGAGCAGCCAGGAGTTCGGGCCTGGACAGTCTCGGTATCGACGATGGGGAGATTGACCTGAATTTCGATGTTGTGTCTGAAAAGATCAGCAATATTGCATCAGCACCCCAAGCCATCCCGACAGACGTGGCAACTTCAGATCAACAGCAAGAGCCTGTTCTTTACGACGACGGCAGGACGCAGTACTATCGGAGCAAAGATGCTGGAAAGACCTGCAAGGAAAGGTTTTCATACTCGTCTTTCGACGCAGGCGCAACGGTTCTTAAGACCAACAAAGGGGCAAAGAATGCCAAGGCCATCTTGGTTGAGAACAAGGACTCGTACATGCTACTGGAATGCTCTGCGGGAAACAAGTTCGTGATTGTTGAGCTTAGTGACGATATTCTGGTTGACACCGTTGTGCTGGCCAACTTCGAGTTCTTTTCCAGCATGGTACGGCACTTTCGAATTAGCGTGAGCGACAGGTATCCTGTCAAGGTTGACAAGTGGAAAGATTTGGGCACATTCGAGGCCAAGAATTCGCGGGACATCCAGCCCTTCCTTGTGCAAAACCCCTTGATCTGGGCCAAATACGTCAGGATAGAGTTCCTGACCCACTACGGCAATGAGTTCTATTGTCCTGTCTCATTATTACGTGTACATGGCACGCGAATGCTAGAGTCATGGAAGGACCAAGAGACGCCGATTGAAGAAGAAGAAGTGGTGGAAGAGCCTGTCGGCCAGTTGCCTAGCTCTGCCACCAACGCCGAGACGGGAGACAATACAACATTTGCCCCCCCAAGAGGAGGATCATCAGATTTGGCATCTGACACCACACCAAACCTGCTTATGCCACGCCACATCTTCTCGCCTCTGGATTGGGAGAACCCGACTTGCCCTCCTTTGATGCCACTGCCACATTCAGAAACAAGGCCATTAGACCCAGAACTACAGGCCAGCGATCGTGCAAAGTCAGGCTACCAACCATCCACGTATGATCGAATTCGGGGCGGAGATCCTGCCAAACGTACCTCAGAGGACAGGTCGGCATTTGCCCCTGCAAACCAAACAGATCAGATTGACGAACCATACACTTCATCCTCGGCGAAGTCTGTTTCTGCAGGTGCACACCAAAGCAGCATATACACCGACCCAAGGCCAGGAGGAGGAGACACTGCGATGTCGGGCACGTCTTCCACTAAGACAGCACAAGCCACCGTCCAGTCCCGAAACAAGAACAACTCAACGGCAGCGCCTGCATCCCCTACTGTCCAAGAGAGCTTCTTCAAAGCCGTTAGCAAGCGCCTCCAGTACTTGGAGTCAAATGTGTCACTGTCGCTCAGGTACATTGAGGACCAATCTCGCTACCTACAAGAGATCCAGAAATTGGCCGAGAGGAAGCAGTTGTCTAGAATTGACATCTTCCTGGATAGTCTCAACAAAACGGTACTCTCGGAACTGCGAACCGTTCGCCAGCAGTATGATCAGATATGGCAATCGACTGTCATTGCGCTAGAGAGCCAGCGGGAACAGTCACAGAGGGAAACCGTTGCACTTAGCTCTCGGCTCAACATTCTTGCCGACGAAGTTGTTTTCCAGAAGAGAATGGCTATCGTTCAGGCCATTCTCCTGCTATCATGCCTCATTCTCGTTATCTTCTCCCGAGCAATGACACAACCTATCCTAGCTGGTTCTTTTGATCTCGGTCGAACCTCGAACCTGAACCATCCTGAGCCTGGCATATCACCAGAACCTGTTGCTCAGAACACATACACCTCCGCATATGACAATTTTGGCCGGCCGTGCGATCAAGAAGGCCATGGTGGAAGAGGCTCACTAAAGGGGGATTCTGGCGCGTTGCAAAACTTGCCGGGCACGCCAGCAAGGCTCCTCACGCCGGCATCAGAAGATGGTTACAATTACGGACCCCCAGAGAGCAACCAATGTGGCCCCACTAGGATCATGATGCCGCAAACACACCTAGTTGATACAATCCCCGAGGATGACTCTGCTGATAATTACCGAGGCTCATCCTTGGACTTTGGCGAGCATTGTATCGCCGAAGAGACGACCCTAACATCGAATAATGTAATGCAGCATGGTCGCGGGTTTTCACCCCAAAATCCACTTCATTCGGCTGGAGTCCTCCTAGACTCGCCACTAGAGAGAGAGGCTGAGGCTCGTTTACCAAACCAACCTCTTGGGATCGTCTCATCCGCAGTTCGCAAACCACTCCCAGCATTACCAGAGTAAATATCTCACTCACATGGGACTTACCAATCCCCAGCTGCTACCGAACTGGACTTGACTTTGCGTTGGGTTTCTCACATCCTTGTCGTCGCACTGATGGTTGAGAGCCCCCATTACCAATTGCCCTGGCCTGCGTAGTGTTCGCAGCATCGTGGCAAGTAGGAAATATTGTCAATGGCATGAGACAAAGCGCAGGAACATACTTGGCACGGCCGAGAAATTATGCAGCCATGATATCTTAGCAGAGAATAGCTAGGTACTAATGATTACACGTTCATGACGCTTCCAGAAAGCTCCAGTATATAACAATCAAAGTTGGAGCCCCATGTATGTGGACAGAACTTCAATGTCTCGATTCCCCGTAGTAGTATTGCGATGCCAGTACCTTCACTCAACCTGCATTATCCCTTGAAACTGCCTTCCAGATTACACCGTCTACTACCTTACGCATGATACATGTACGGCTGCATAGATGCTTCGAAGTCATGTTCTTCGAGGGCGGCCAGTCTCGTGCCTCGGTCATACTGCGACCGTCTGCGGCGTTGCTCGTCGCGGAAATGCTGTCCAGCGTTGGGCGTGAAAAGCCCTATGAGGATTTTATTAGCATGGCCCAGCAAGCGCTTGATGATCCTGCCGTACCAACGTGTTCTGCATTCTCGCAGCTTCGCTTCATCTTGGACTGGTTGTCCGGCTCCGGAAAGGATTCCTCCTCTCCCGCGAGTTCTGGGACGGGCCCATTGGAGGTGTAGAACAGCTACATTCTGGTCAGTTTCAACTCCCTCGCGTTCTGAGTGGAAGCTCACTGACCTTGGGACGATAATGCGCTGCTTCGAGCATTACAGAGCTGTTTCTGAACTTCTGAACAAGGCAATCCTTGCCCTGGATGGCTTTGGGAGAGCACGTTAGCAGGCAGGTTTGACACTTATCCTATCTCGCGGCACTCACTGGCATAGGAAATCTCAGCGACCTTGTCGCTCTTGAAACAGTTCCTGTATCGATGTTAGCTGGCAAAAAGTCATCTAGCTTGATCACTACGTTCAACATACCATCTCTGGTTGCCTCTGGTATTGACAAACTGTATCCTGATGATCAGCACTGTCGTGAACGCAAGGCTTGGGCTTACCGACATCAATGATGTCCAACGGCTATGGCACAATGTCAGCAACATATCACAGAATTCTCCGAGGTCCTACTTACGTCCACAAAATTGATGAAAGCGTATCCGACACTAGTAGAGTCCACCGCGATTAGTGCCTTGATCCATGGTGAGTTTTGAGGCTGGCGGTATTGCTTACTTGCAGTCATTGGCGAAATCGATCCGGAGATACATGAAGTCATACTTACCCCAGCTAGATTCATCAACAATCCGCTTGAGCATTGCTTGGTCGACTTTGTTTGGGATGTTGCGAAGCATGATCTGACCATTGTCAGTCTGAGCGTCCAGAGACATTGACACAGTACTCACCGTGGTGCGAACATCTGTTCCTTCACGAATGCGGTTGACATCGACATGGTTGTGGTGGCTAGCAACATTATAGTAGGGTGATCTGTTGACCCTGGCTGCATTCTGTCTTCGGGGCTCAGTTCTGGAGCCGGGTGACATCGATCCCATCATCGACATGCCCTGGGAAGACTGCGAGAAAAGATGGTTTGTGAGCTGATACCCCGTCGAGTTGGATGTAGACGGAGGCGCCGAGAGGCGATGACCACCATTCAGAACGTATGCTGTGCTCGGCTGAAACTGCGGCTGGCATAGAATGGGCCACATCGCCAAAGGGGAAACCTGGATACCGAGAGGAGGGTACGGCGAGCCGGGAACAGGCATAGGCGCTCCTTGGGGCATAAGGTGCACCTGGTTAGCTTGCTTGGAGAGAGACAGGGCATGAAGGGCGCTTGTCAGATCGTGGCCAGGCAAGGAGGGGCTGTGGTCATCGGTTGAGCCTTCCTGGGGATCTTGAGTGGCATGAGGGATTTCACTTCCATCCAAAAGTGACAAGGTGACATGGATTCCCTTGAAAGACCATTAGCTCGCGTTCAAAACCGGCCCCGTTCAACTTGCCAGCGCCAGGTGAGCTTACCTCGACGATCGTGTTGTTGAACACAACCACAGCTGTGGCACCTTCAGCCTGGTCACTGAATTGGACGATGGCTCTGTATACCGAAGAGTCGTTGTTCTGTTGGGCATGGTATGCGAGGAGTTGTCCCCGCGATTGCATCATGCGCTTGAGAACTGCTTCAGTGCGGATGACGTCGAGCGGGCAGGGAGGAATAGCCAGGGCAACAATGGCGACCCAAACCCCAGACTTGACACGGCTCCTGATGGCAAGCTTCTCGGATATCAGCTGCGAGGCTTTGGTTAGGGATCCAACTAGACACACCTCTGAAAAGTCAACACTAGATAGATAGTTGACTTCAAATTCAGCTTCAACTCGATAAACGTTGTCGTGGACGAGAACGGCATCGCGAATATCGCTGAACTGGACAGAGATTCGCCCTCCTCTGTGGAAAATTTGTCTCGGCTCTTGGACCGAGAGACCAAGGCGCTGAAGTTTCTAAGAGTTCTTTAGTCAAGATATTGCGTGACGGGAGACAGAGCACTTACCATGAGACAAGCATTCAGATCGGTGATGCCAAGGTTTCGGGTTTGCGAGCCGATGATGAGACATTCCGAGAGTTCACCAACATCTCTAAGCCCGGCCGAAAAGACGCTGGAAACTGACTGTCTGTCTCGGTCGAGATTGGTGAAATCAGTGTTCCTGTCCAGCGGCGAAGAGAAGGGCTGGAAAGTAGAGGCAGTCGGCGACAACTTCTGAAGGTTATTGTTTGACTCTGTAGTGATGAAAGGGTCCTTGTCGGCACTGGACATGACACTTCCAAAGGCACTCGAGGGAAACCTCGAAGGAGTGGTCTCTGGCGAGGTCTGCGCAATTGATTTGAGCAGACGCGAGGACCTAGTCGCGCTTTCCTCCGGAGAGAAGGCTGTCAATCTTGTGTCCGGCGTTCCCTTGAAGGAATCGGCACCGCCGACAGAGGAGTGAGGTGAAGAGGGGTTGAACATGACGTTCTCGTGGTTGTGGGCCATGTTGTCTGTCGTGATGCTTCTCACCGAATGTCGGTACTCAACCCAATATGTGAAGACGAGGGGAAAGAAACGATGTAGTGGCTTCTGGGCAGTAGAGGAAAAAACCGAAGTACCGAGACCCAGGGGATGATGGATAGAGCTGACAGACTTGCGTGAACACGCGATAGGTAGAAGATTGCACTCTCTCGCTTGGCCTCGAGATAGCTGTGCTTCTGCAGAAGACACAAAGTTGGGACGAAACCGAATGATTTGCACCTTGAAAGAGGCCGACAGGGAAATTCCAGCACAAGATGAGGTTGCGTTGGCTCTGTGCCGACAAGGATGAACAGGTAGAAAAGGTAATGTGAAAGTAGGAGGGATGTGTATGGAAATGGGGGTCTCGTGGAAAAACTTGTGGTGTGAAGTGTGCGCACGTGGACATTGGGTCAGCGCAACTCAAGGAGGAAAGAGCCCGCCCTTATTGATGGCAGCGGGGGAAGGAAGCAACTATCTGGCAGTTGGTGGGTGGGCAGCTTATGGAAAGCAGGAAGGCGCGTCGCGTGGGGGCTTCCTTCCTTTGCCCACCGCAGAAGGAAGTCGTCACTGACTGGAGAGGAAAGAACACCGATAAGGCAGGCAACTGCTTGCTTGGGTTTCTACATATTCACCTCAACTACCTTAGGTGCCCACCTACCTACCTCAAGAACTTCATCTCAAGTCGACCTAGTTACGGAGGGAATGGCATCTTTTTCTCTTAGTCTTCCAATCATCCTAAGGTAAACGAGGGTAAGGTAGCGTAGAAAGGCGATCTAGGAACGGCCACTTCGGTTGAGGTATTTGAGGTGCACATGAACCAGTTCATGGCCTCTCGTACCTTCCTCTGAACGACTGTGAAGTGGGGTCACTTGGGTCAGCTGGAGGTGATATCGTCTGTACCGAATTTAAGGCAGCTACAGACGACATAATCGTGCTGCCGTCATATGCCTGTCTTCTTGTGAGGTGTGTAAGTCGAGGGCGACGATATGAAGAGAGAGAGATCTCAGTGTTTACAGATGCCGTTGATGTTCCTGCCTGGCTCCCGAAGGAAATATAGTGAGCGGGCCAAGGTGATAGTTCCTCAAAGATAAAGTATCGAGATTGACGGGATAGACGTGGGAAGACCAGAAGAGTAAGGCACCGTTCACTATTCGCTAGTGATGACCTTGAGATAACCGTTGCCCCGTGCGAAGTTGGAGATACGTTGTGAGGGACGGGGATCCACCCACCCCGCAGACCGGGAGACAAGGTCCTTGGCTGCGGAGGACACGGCCCCGGGATGGAAGGTCACCCACGTCAATGTGGTGCTGCCAGGGTACGGAGTACCTTACTTCCCATGCGAGCACCTGCATTAGCGGCGCTGACCAAGCCTAGTCCGAAAGGGAAGAAGGGAGCCTCTTCAGGACTGCGCCGCATACACATCAATCCTCGCACTTCAGCATTCCGACATCTCCAACCGCCAGGTGGAGCTAGCTTATCGACCTACCTGGCACGCCAGGTACCTACCTTATTCGTACCTTACCAAAGGGCCACAGACACAACCCGGGCCCATTCGTCTCTTCTTCCAGTCCCGCCAGGTGCCCTCAGATTGACCGCTTCTACCTTGGGGACTTGCCGAGTCCCAGCCTGCCCCGCGAAGTTGCTTCTACAAGTCAAACAGCTACCGCCTACCGATCAAACGAACTCCGTGTCTAGTCTACACCAACGAGAACGCGTGCCGCGCAAGGCATGGAACAAGATGCCCCGGCGCCCGCAGACCTACGATGATTACGGCGCAGCCGTCCAACAGGTTATGTCTAAGCCGTGATACCAATCGAATCTACGTCATTCCCGAGCTAACTCGAAGTCGCTCTAGATTATCATCACTTCGTCCGACACAGACTTCCTCGACCAGCTCATTCCGGTCCTCAAAGATGCCTCGCATTCGAATCGAACCCCTTCCCTGATGCAAAATCTCGTGCGATATGCCGAAGACAGAGAGTCCGATATCGAGAGAATAGGCTTGACAAAGCACGAGGAGTTTCTAGGTTCCGTGAACCAACTTCAGAACGTGCGCGAAGGCACCGTCACTCTCACAGCAGAGATCCTCAGATTAAACCAGTCAATCCAGGCCAGCACCGAGAAGCTTGCTGATCAAAAGCAAGCTCTAGTCAACACGAGAGCCGTTCGACAGAACATCGCCGACGCTTCGGATGTCCTGAAGGAGTCACTCAAGATCCTCCACGCTGTCAATCATGCCCATGACCTGATCCGTACGAAGAAGTACTACGCGGCGCTCAAATCTCTCGAGGACTTGCAGAATGAGCATCTGATCCCGACAATCCAGAACAAGTATGCTACTCAGCACAGACTGGCCGACGTGATCCAAAAATCGATACCCGCATCTCAGAAAATCATTTCTGAAGCCGTCATGACCGATCTAAATACCTGGCTGTTTCGAATCCGCGAGACCTCCCAATTCCTAGGCGAGGTCGCGTTCTATCATACTGAACTTAGAAGGGCGAGACAGAGAGAACGCGTGGAGCGAGACAGTTTCCTCAACAACTTCAGACTCAATTCATCAATCGAGCTGGTCTTTGACGAAAGCGAGGAGTTCGACGTGCTCGACAACGAGGAGCTACGGGTTGACTTTACCCCATTGTTCGAGTGCCTTCACATCCACAATGCCCTGGGTCAAAGCGAGAAATTCCGTGCAGAATATGCTACAACCCGTCGCCAGCAGAAAGATTTACTGCTACCCAGCACGGTGAACCTCGTTGCAGAGGATGAATCCTCACTGAGCAGTCTCCTCGAAGGCATTGCTGGTTTTGCCATCATCGAGAAGGCGACCATGAGACGCGTCCCCAACTTGCGCTCTGCAGTTGATGTGGGCTGACTTCCTCCCCATCATCCCTTTGTGCTGGTGCTGAAATCTAGTTAGGTGGACGAGCTATGGGACTCAATGTGTCACACGGCTATCACATTGACCTCTCAGGCTCTCAATGAAGTCAGCAACGCCGAAATACTACTCAAGATCAAAGGCGTCATAGCTCTTTTCATCCAAACCATGGAGGTATGTAGTCTCATTGAGTCTTGTCCTCTCTACAGACGTTTCCTGACATTCAACTCGTGATAGGGCTGGGGCTATTCTGTATCAATGCTGGACAACTTCCTGCTTACGTTATTTGATAAGTATGCAGAGCTTTTGAAGCGTCGTTTCAGCGAAGACTTCCAAGAGGTACGAAATCCTTAACGCATATGAATCGTCTTCGGTGGCTAACGCATCCTAGATTGTGTCAACGGACGATTACATGCCCATGGCAATCAATACCCGTGAAGAGTATGAGAAAGTGGTGAACGTCAGCTGGTTTTCTCAAGAAAAATCGCTCGAGGAGCTCAGGTAAGCAAGCGATATATCTGATTTTGACTTGGCTCAAGTGTCTGACAATCATTCAGCTTCCCCTGCGTCTTGCCATTCTCGCAGATGTACCCTCTTTGCTGCATAGACATTCGCAACTTTTTGAATCAGTTCTACTTCTTCTCCGATGACCACTTCCAGCATCCAAATGTCATCGATGACACACTTCGCAAGGCAAGTAACATGAGTAGTACAGCTTGAGGAAAGGAACTGACTCTTCACTAACTTGTAGTCGCTTGACGAACTTCTGACCGAGAAGGTTTGCAAGTCTCTCGTCGAGAGGCTGAGCTCACAGTATCTCGGGCAGATTGTGCAAATTCTCATCAATCTCGAGCATTTTGAAGCCGCATGCCAGGAGCTTGAGCAGCTTCTCATCCGGGCAAGATCGTCCACGTCAGCCGGCGGTCCAGTCACGCTTGTTGCTACCGAAGAATTCCGAAACAATAAAAAGACAGCCGAGAAGCGTATTTTCGAACTTGTCAACTCAAAGATCGATGACCTCGTGGATACAGCTGAATATGACTGGTATGTGGAATAAGACTATTTTCGACTGGAAAGGAAATGCCTTGTTGATGTCAACTGACAATGATATACAGGATGGTGACCACTACATCTCCCGATCCAAGCAGCTACATGCAGACCATGACCCGGTATCTTTCGACTATCATGAACTCAACGCTGCTAGGCTTGCCAAGAGAGATCAAGGAGCTCATATACTTTGATGCACTCAGTCATGCCGCCAACAAGATTCTTGTGAGCTTCTTGATGCTGAGGATAGGCTCAATTGGTTGTTTCTATTACTGACGTATGTCGTTGTGCAGGCGTTACCACTCTCTCCTGATGTCAAGCATATCAACACCAATGCCGTCGCAGCCTTAGCTAAAGACGTCCAATATCTCACCGAGTTCGTCGACAGTCTTGAAAACGGAGCCATGCTACGAGAGAACCTGGACGAACTCCAACAAACAATCAACCTGATGCAGTCTGACAACCATGACGAATTTTTTGATATTTCAATTCGCAACAAGAAATTTGGTCGCGTAGATGCATTGAATGGTCCCATCCTGCTGGAAAAGTAAGGCTCGAGATACCGGTGATCTTCCTAAACTCAAACACTAATTTCTCTACAGGCTTACCTCGAATGCCCAAGGTCCCACGCGCAGCGCTCCTCTCGCCAATTTTTCATCCAGGTTCGGTATGATGAAGTGAGAGCCGTTTGCCTCACACATACTGCCTACAGAACCTAGGGCGTGGAGGAGTAAACGGTTCGACATACCAACACACGTCACATCCGAGTCTTGCTGAAGCAAACAACCATTTGTATTCTCTGCGGGATGTTACTAGACTCACATATGGAGCTCGTGTTTTCCCACCCCCGCACCCTGCTAATTACTCAAGAGGATCAATCCATCGTGAAGCACTGGCAGATTCGATGCTGTTCCGTCATCATGGCTCTCGTCGCTAAAAATGCCTTGAACGCCGCTACGCCAGATCCAAATCGAAACGATAACCATGCCTCTCATTTTGCGTTACCTGTGAGGGACAAACTGAAGACAGCCGTTTGAGACACACTTGCGCTGCGGATGCCCATCGTCTACTCAAACTCCTCGTTGGACATAGGCGGCTACCACATTTGTCAGCCCATTCGTGGCGTAGCAAGTCATCAATACTGGACAAATACTCACCTGCTGTGGCTGCATAGCCCCATAGCCATACATGCCCTCGATCTCGCCATACATGGGTTGTTGGGCTTGTCCGTAGGGGGCGGAGGGACCAGGCTGTACTTGGCCAGGGTACATATTGGGATTTTGGCGGTAATCCTGATCGGGCCCAAGAGCATGGCCAGCGAGGCCGTAGTCAGTGGCCGCCATGGGATGCGAGGAGGACGAATGGTTTGCTGGCTGTGGCATGGAACCATGCTGGCCGGGCATTTGGGGAGTCGCTTGGGCTGGAACGCCTTGGGGTGTGGGAGCAGTCTGACCTGCTGTTCTCTTGGCATGCGAGGAAGCCTCCTCACGGGGAACTATGTCAATAAGAAAATCAAACATGTCCGACTTGGCAAGGGCAGACGCAATGTCAGATCGCTGTAAAGTGCGCCGCTTGTTCTCTTCGGCGTGAATCCACGCACGCATCGTAAGTTCTGTAATGAAGATGTCGCAACCCTTTGCGAATAGGATGGGTGCTTCGGCGGATATCATTTTGACTTCGGGGTCAGCCTTCATGACTTTCTTGATGCGTGCCAGGGGCAGTTGATGCAGCTTGTAGTCATGGTTGTCGCTTTCCAAGTGGTTGATGGTCTGCTGCCAGTAGGTTGTCAAGATGTCCTTGTACTGGCCGGTTAAGCCTTGATGAACCTGTTATGTGGAGAATGCGCGTCAGTCGACTCTAGGCCGATTTCAAAGGGGATGAGATTGTGACCGCACATTTGCCCATGGGCCAGTGTAAAGTTCGGCGGGAGCGAAACCCTGGGCTGACAGCTGTGAAAATAATTAGAAACGGCTCATGAAATGTATAGCATTCGTTGTAGAAGACGTCGTTTGCGAGTCGCAAGGAGGAAACACGAACCGCAGCACTCGCGCCTAAGTTTGAAGACAGATATTAGCACACCGGCAGTAAGACGAGGCTGAGATGAAGTGAAGAACGTAGCTCGCGTCGAGAGCGCGCTGCTTTCGCGCATTTGCGCGCGATCGGGGAGGAGAGGTGAGGGGGCTGTATTTCCGCTTACCATAATGGCCGCCATGAGACGTATCATATACAGGCTGCGGGCGACCTTGCTGGGCGTGAGAGCCAGGTTGATTTTGAGGGTCCATGGTAGCTGTCGCGAGAACCAGCGATGACTGACGGTACCTATGGTGTTTAAGGATTGATTGAAGCGTGGAATTGGTGGGCAAGACGAGAGCCGCGAATCAATGGTGTGTGGGGTTTGTCGGGTCGTCCGTCGGAAGGGTATTGCTCTACTCTAGACTTGCGATCAGTGCTCTGGCGCGTCTCGGCTCGGGGTGGTGGGATACCTACCTACGCAAACGAGATGCTCAGAGGTGGAACTGTGATGTACGGGCTACTGACTACGGGCAATTGAGAGTACCTTGGGGAGGACGGTGGAGCGAAGACCAGAGAGCGAGACACAAGGCAGGTAGGTACCAAGGTAAGGTACCTAGGGCAAGGTAGGTACCTAGGTACTTGGTTTGGAGCCGCGGGATGGGATGCCTTTGTTTGGTACTTGCCTGTAGACAAGATATCCCAAGGAGCCAAGGACAAAAGATAGAGCGATCTGGAGTTAGGTAAAGATGGGAGGTGGGCGAGTAGATGACTAGACGTCAGTGACCTAAAGGATAACACTGGAATCCGGTTGATGTTTGCGACGGGCGAACTTGAACGCGACACTAGCTACCGCCTATAGGTACGGTAGGTAAGGTGAGTGGGCTTGACCGTCCTCTTATCGTGGGGACGGTAAGGCCAATTTGCTGACCGTGAGGAAACATCAAGGAGCATGGCTACGTGGAGGTGCCGATGTAACGGCCTCTTGGGCAGCGTCAGTTAGGTATCAGTAGTACATTTCCAAGGTACCTTGATGGAGGCTGGCACCTCAATGATCAAGGTTGGTTATAGATGCCTTACGGTAAGGTAGTTAAGGTACCTAGGCAGGTACCTCTAGGTGAATGACCTACCTACCTACCTAACTAGGCGAGGCCTGACCGCAAGGTGGTAGGTAGCGCCGCCATACCTCCTCCTTCACCTTACCACCTTACGTGCTCAGGTTCAGGTTCCTTGGGGACCTGAGCTGTCAACGTGCCCCGGGTATTTCAAGCGAGATACTTTGGTTATCCGTACAAAGACTTGAGATGATACCCAACAATCCAAGGTTCGTTCTTGGTAGGTAATCGACCGCCGCGTCAGGTAAACCTGTACTAGAGGTATTGGGCACTTGACCATTGGGCATGGTAGCATAAGGTACTTGGTACTCAAAGGTCAGGTAAGGTAGGGTGGTAGGTAAGTTGATAATGTAGGGGCGACAGGCAGCCTCGATTCTCAGAGCACACCGAATTCCTTTTAGCCGCCTATTGGGCATCCTGCGACCTCGCCATCACGTAGCCCTTGAAAGGCCGAGCCGTCCAAAATATGCTGTAGTCTTCTATCTTCGCTCTTGGTTGAAGCCAAGGTGGACAAAACACATGGGTTATTACGTAGAGCGGCATGTGCCCGATGACGTGGCTGAGGATCGAGGCACGACGTAACTGTCAATGAGTGCTTTGCTTCAATGCGAGGCTGCAAGCTGGCCAGCGGGTGTGCGGGTCTCTCATGATTCCAAGCTTACATAACAGTCCTGCGGGTATGAGTATTACCTAATGCCAAAGGTACCCACCTCGAGGCGACGCGCCTCAACTCACCATCCAGTGCGTCCACTCGTGTCAAGTCCCACTGCCCCACCAGACCTTTAAAGACGGAAAAAAAAAATCTTACTTCAAAGCCGATTTGCCCAATCTTCTCCTCTCGATCCCTTTCCTTACACTGCTGAGTCCCGTTTCAGCTCCCACGGTTCAATCGCACATTACCGCTATGCCAGAGCTGTGCGATGGGCGTCTTGATGATCTCCTGAGAGAAGCGGCTAGTCGCCTTGCGACGAAGCAGCCGCCACGGCCCAAGGATTGCGCCTTGATTGCCATCAAGGCCGTACCTGTCAATCCAACTGCGGATTCAAAGGTGCAGCCCAAGGCACAAGACTCAAAAAGCATCATGCTTCGCGATCCTAGGCCAGCGGAGAAGAAGGTACGTTGCGGCGCCTTGAGCAATTTCTACTCCTTATCCCCCCATCACGCACCTCTTCTGATGAGAAGCAAACCCTGCTTTATTTTCTTGATGTGGTGACGGTGCCCGTCTTGGGTTACCTGCCACGCCAAAATGATCATTTATTTCATAGTTACTCTGACTTGAGATTCTCCCACGACACTCTGCCCTGTTTGCAAGGTTGAATGGACCTGTACACTAACAACAGACAGACTGCCAAAGATAATGCCGGCCCGGGCTGGTTTGGCATCCCCAAGACGGATCCCAACGATCCCGAGCTGAAGCGAGACCTCCAGATTCTTCACATGAGAGGAACTGCCATCGATTCCAAGCGCCACTACAAGAAGGAATCCCTCAAGGCCAAGGTGCCTCGCTACGCTCATGTCGGACGCATTGTCGAGGGCCCGACCGAGTTCCACAGCGCCCGCTTGACGCGCAAGGAGAGAAAGCAGACCCTTGTGGATGAGTTGTTGAGCGCAGAAAAGGCATCGGGCAAGTTCAGATCCAAATATGAGGCGATCCAGACGAAGAAGGCGAGCGGCAAGAAGGCGTTTTACAAGAAATTGGTTGAGCGCCGTCGGCGCAGCCGCCAGTAGCCAGGCACACGCTTTGCTTTTCGTGTCTGGACATGTCTCTTTTAAATTTTGTGATACCCGAAGTCGCTGGCTGATAGACAGTCGCGCAAATCAATTAAATATGGACTTCCATGCAGCTGGTGTAAAGAACGCAAGACATGAGTGATGGAAATGTTTTAGTGACATAGTATCAAATCCAATCACCACCTTACAATCAACCAGTTTTGGGAATGCTATATAGCGCTCCATCTGAATCACCCAGTGAAGCAAATGTAATGGAGTTGAGTAGAGGGAGGTCACAAATCAACATATGCATAGAGTGATGGTATTCAATAAAGTGGATAGCATTTTTTTCGAAATACGATAATGCCCATGCAGCTTACCTCACATATGCATAATTTGCGGGTACCTCGAGATTTTACCGTGGAGATCCATACTCGACCCTTTCCGCGTGTCAACAGCATAGCATTGCTCATCAATCTTGCTACGAATGTGAAGAAGATGCGCGCTCCGACACTGTTGAGGCCAACCGCCCGCTGCCTGGTGCGGTCACATTTACAGGTTTGTTGGTACTTCTCCCGCGGCGTTTACGTTGCGTGGACGCGGCGGAAGCTGTTCCCTCATTGACTGTTCAATTCTACAGGGCACCCTGAGACCATCATGGACTCGTTCACTCAACACAGAGACGCCGCAAACCTCAGCGACGCAACCCTCGAAAGATTTCGACACAAAGAGAAAACCGCAGGCTTTGAGCGAGTCTGACCCTGTGTAAGCACTCGCCCCAACCGGGTCATATTGCGTGCAGTGATGGTACTAATGATTATCGCCTCCAAGGGGACATTTCTTCGGAAAGACGAAAGAAAACGAACCAAGATACCCTCGAGGCGTCCAGGCACTCTATCTCCAGCCATTACGTCGCGAAGCCGAGTACGGAATTCCTTCATGCGACCTTCAATTGCGCTCATACAGTTTGAGGAACCTCGAGTTCTTCTCCGACTTTGCCCTCCGCGCAGCGTACTACCTGAAGCTCCCAGCGTTCGGCCCGGTGCCCCTGCCTCGAATCACTGAAAGATGGACGGTTCCCCGGAGTAGTTTCATTTTCAAAAAGTCACAGGAGAACTTCGAGCGTGTAACGATGCGTCGTCTCGTCCAAATCCGTGATGGAAACCCTGAGACGGTCCAGCTGTGGCTAGCTTTTCTCCAGAAGCACGCATACTACGGCATTGGTATGAAGGCCAATGTGTGGGACTTTGGAAGGCTTGGTAGGTTGCAACAAAGCATGACGTCTAGCGAGCAGGGTCATACTTGCTCATTTGATACAAATGTTAATGTGCTAATCTTTTCCCAGGTGTCGGCAAGGCTATGGATGCCATCGATCCAGAGGCGACTGAGGCAATCGACTCGCAGTGGAAACACCTTGGTCAAAACCGGGAGCTTGATACAGTTGAGAAAGTGGAGGAGTTCTTGGCCACGGTCCGGTTCGATAAGGACAGTGGGAAGCGATCAGAGGGTGAGCGGCGGTTCCTTCAGACCCAATGGAAGAAAGACGAGGCGGCCAAGAGGAAGGCAGCCGCGAGTGCCTGAGAAACCGGGCCACCCATGGGTCGACGTGTAAGCTGGTGTGTAGTGCTTGAGGAGGAGACGATTGAGGGCGGTCGAGAAAAAGGTCATAGAAGGCTCTGTCTGTGTATTAAATAGTTGAAAAGGGACCCTGTTGTGAGCTTGTCCTCTGTAAATCAGCAAACATCAAATCTGGCTCTCGTCGAATGGTGTCACAGACTGCTACTTTAATTGTGTTCACATGGGCTTGCGCGCCTTCGATCTACTTGCTATGTATCCTGACAGGGCCCTCGACCGTCCCCCGGAAGAGGCTGAGGCTAAGGTAACCAGGTACGCCATGCGCCCAAAGTCCATTGCGCCCCGCTATAGCAATATGGACTGAATAGCAATAAGCGGTCCATTGCCCCATGCGCTGGATTCTTCAACCTCTACTTCTAAGGCTAGTGGGCTCATGTTTATTAACGATCCTGAACTTACAAAACGGCAGATGTGACCTGGCATTGGGCTTGCAGCAATCTTCGGGGGTTGTGGCCATATGTGATTTCGATTATACCTCCCGACGCCTCCGGTTCTTGCCCATCATTGAGATCATAAAGTAAGCGTACCGGCTTAAGTACTAGTTCGAGTCAAATTAACCATTAAAGCCAGGCCTCTCTACTCTAAACATTAACACGGCTCTTTCTCATGTGGCAGCATTCAAGGCGGGCAGTCCACCGGCTCAAGGTTCCAGCCGGACGCCGCGACGCGTCAACTGGGAACCACCAAGTCATTTTTTCGGGCATTCAGCCTACAGGAACGCCGCACTTGGGCAACTACGCCGGTGCGATCCGACAATGGGTGCAGCTCCAAGGCAAGCCAGCTGAAAGCTGCAAGCTTGTTTACTCTGTCGTCGACTTGCACGCTATCACTGTGCCTCAGAAGGCAGGGCAGCTGAGGCAATGGAAACGGGAAACACTGGCAGCTTTGTTGGCTGCAGGTATCAACCCTGAACGCTCGACCTTGTTCTATCAATCGTCTGTATGTTACGACGAACCTCTCTATATCTTTCTCTTACACACTTACACACACATACACACACATACATACGAAGCCGTTTTTTTGGGCACTCATCCCTCCGTTACTATAGCCGCTCTGACCCCGAAGATACTAACAAATCACACATCAGGTCCCGGCACATTCTGAGCTCATGTGGATCTTGAGCTGTACAGCCTCGATGGGCTACTTGTCACGAATGACACAATGGAAGGTCTAATACTTTGCCGTTCCGTAATCAATAGAACAACTTACTGACACCGGACATTTATTAACAGAGCAAGCTGTCGCTCTCAACTGATGCCACCATCCTCGATGAAGGCGCAAAAGCCTCGCTGAAGCTAGGTCTATTCTCATATCCCGTCCTGCAGGCTGCCGATATTCTCGTCCACCGGTATGTTTACTTGACATTGTTCCGAAGCGCTTCATACTGTTCACCCGCCAGCTACAGCTATTATGGAAACTAGGGGCAACGCACTTGATTAATGTTTTGTCTAGGGCCACTCATGTACCCGTCGGCGATGATCAGAGACAGCACCTGGAATTTGCTCGCGAATGTGTGACAAATTTCAACCACAACTTCGGCCCTCTCCTGGTATCTCCCGAGACCATCACGTGTGAGTTTGTCTAGCCATCTTTCGTGTCGTCATCTATCTTCAGGGCACGAATTCCTAATGAGGTGTAGCCCCGACACGCCGGGTCATGTCGTTGCAACAGCCAACCCAGAAGATGTCGAAATCGGCCAAGGACCCGAGGTCACGTATCCTTATTACCGACACGCCGGAAGAGATCCACGCCAAGGTTATGAGTGCATTTACAGACTCCTCTAATAATGTTTCCTATGATCCGACTAACCGGCCGGGGGTATCAAACCTATTGGAGATCCTCTCTATTTTTGATGCTCAGGCCAGGAACCCAACTCAGCTCGCCGAATCTCTTTCCCATGCGTCACTCAGAGATCTTAAACAAGCCGTCTCCAAGGCTGTCATTGAAGGACTTGGCGGAATCCGTGAGCGCTACATGGAGCTTCTTTCTGTTGACGAGGGACGTTATCTCGATGCTGTCGAAGCAAAGGGTGCCAGCAAGGCCCGCCTTAATGCCAACGAAACCATGGTCTTAGTAAGAGAAGCCACCGGGCTGTGAAGCCTTTGCTCTGTCCCAGGACTTGCTCGGTGAGGCGCCTCGTAGCCTGTCATGCTGTAAAGCATTTGTAATATAATGTACCATCACTTCTCATTCCTGTGAACCACAACCTTGAACACCGTCAATGGGAGTCATTTATGACTGTAGGAGGAAGGCCGACGGGTTGTTGAGGCATTGTAGTTCTGGAACATGTTCTTCACGAGGCATAGGCGAAGTTTGAGCCTCGCGCAGCAAGCCAAAAGTCTCGCACCACCTGATTGGTCCCCCTCGCTCCACGAAGACTGTCAGAGATGGTCAGCGACAAATTCCCATAGTCTTTTCACACTCTTCATAAAGAAAATCAAACCCACTTCATAATCTTCTTGAGAAACACCGCCTTTTCATCGCCAGCTAGCTGCCGGCTTGGGAATGATGGGTCCGACAAGGCTTGCTCAAGCCAAGTACGAGCTTTGGCTTGGTTGCTGACCATCTTCTTCAGGGGCTCACTTAGCCTGTCGAGTTCGCTCCTTGAGGCAGTTCCGCCGATGTTACGAATAATAGATTGAGCTAGCAACGGGCCTAACTGAGCTATTGCGTGATCTATCGTCGCATCTGTGGGCTTCAGAGTCATGAATGTGGCCTGGTGCTGGTTAGTACAGTTGAAGATTATACGTTGCGCATTGGCGAACGAACCCAGAAATCCGCGGCTGCAGCTTTAGGCAGTGGTTCGCGCCCTTCTAGTATCCGCAAGGCATAGATGAAGAAGAACTCGGTAAGCGGAAGGCAATCCGGACGGAAAAGTGAACCAGGCTCTCGCGAGACCAAGCGGTTCGTAAACTCGATGCCGTTCTGCGCCAATTCTACATCGTTGTCTGGCTCTATTCCATCGATACTGTCAGCATGGCTTTGGAATCAAGACAAGCACGACCTTACCTGGTTGTTGCTGTAGTAGAGTAATGACCCATCGGAGAAGTTTCGTTCTTACTTCGTCCACGTCGCCACTCTTCATATTCCTCAATGAGCTGAGAAATGAACAAGCAGTGTTCACAAAGTAGCCGATTCGAGGTGTCTGAGGTGTCTGCTCAGTGAGGTAGTCGCATACCAGCCTTGGAGGGAAAACGAAAGGACCAGCGTCCGACTCTGAGAACCCCGATCGAAAAATGGTGCAAATGCTCTCGGAAACTTCGTCGCTTTGTGGAAACGCTCTCTGAAGCTGTACTATCATTGACATAATCCCAGACTGCAATTGACCGAGTCTGGAGCTGCCGTCGGTCGTTGGCATATCCTTCTCACTATCCAGATCGAAAGGCACGTCACCCGGAGCCTGCAGACCTTTACTAATGCCTATGAGGCATCTCAAAGCCTTCAAGGCCATGTGAAGGGGAAGTTCCGACGGGTCGCCCAGCGTCGAGCAGCGATGAATGTCCGTTCCGCTGCCTGATGCGTCACTCTGAGGTCTAGGTAAGGACAGTAGATGCATCGATAGGCGAGCATCCTTCTGGACGAACGAGAGTAAGAAGTCAAGATGATCGAATCTGGTACCCTCGTCTGGGATGGCTTGGATGACAGCGGCTATGGCTCCCATAATCCGCTCAACAGCCATACAATCCAGCTGGCTTTGCGCAGCAATGCCTTGATATTGACTAAGGAATGCGCTAGCCTCAGATGCCAGGATGGAACGTAACGACGAACAAAGCTGTAAGATGGATTTTGCGGCCGGCCCAGCCAGTAAGGGATCAGCGAGGACAGAGAAGAGCAAGTTCAGGGCAGCTGGAAGGCTTTGGGTCTCGCGCTCAAAGTAATCAGAGTATCTTTCAATCAGGAATATGCAGGTCTGGCGGGTGCGACCTGGCATGGAATCGCCCGATGTCTGAAGAAGGTCGAACAGGGGCGAGGAGAAAACAGCTCTGAGGCTTTCGTCGCATCTGGCATCTCCAGTTACGCAGTCGGCTAGAGACCCCAGACAGAACGCTGCAGCCTCGAGATTAGACCAGGCACTTGGTGACAACGACTGAAGAGTCAGGTTGGCGAAAGTTGAGATCAAGGGAGGTCCAGTCACGGTGAAGGTCGATTGAAGAAGGTCAGCAACATCCTTCCTTGCATCGCCAAAACCGGCGCGGTCAGTCGAGTCCCAATCAGCAAGAACATTGGCAGCTGGGTATGCAATTCGTTGCCAAACGGTCGATATAGCTTCCAGGACGTGGGAGGTAGCCGTAGAGACCCATGCCTTTGAGCCCTCTTCCTCTGAGTAAATGCAGTCTGTCAATGTCTCAACATAGGTGGACCAGAACTCGAGGGCAGGAACGAAGATCTTGTCCTCGCTGACAGGATATCCTTGGGCCGAAAGGAGCCCACGAAGATGTGCGATAAAACGCGACGAGCGGGCATCCACGCCGTGGATGAGATTCTCAACCTTGGAATCGCCAAGAGCGATCATAAGCTGCCCGAATTGGACGGAATCAAAGTCAAAGTCCCCTTGGACAAGACGTTGGTATCGCTCATGAGACCACTGGGTCTCGAAAAGAGAAAAGAGAGACTCATAATGATCATCTGTCAAGAAGCCCGAGTAGTTTGAAAGTATCTCGGAGAGCAACTCCACGGCCACTTCGTACAGTTCGTCGTCGCTCAAAGCTGTGATCGTAGGCTGTACCAGTGCCCGAAGAGAATGGACTAGCTCGTCATTGTGTGCTGACACCCTCTGAGAAAACCAAACCCATGACTAGACAACACGTGGTCAGCGACTGGTCCATAACAATGAGGCATTCGCGCTATTGGGCGGAGATGACTGCCTACCTGTAAACAAGTTATGGTGCCTTTCTGTAAGCTGTGGCTCATTGGACCTGGAGATTCTCGGCATGAAAATCCGTGAGACATGAGAACCATGGCGTCTGGAACATTGCGCATGAGATTCTCATACAAACCCATGCTACCGCGCCGTTAGTGAAAAGAATAGGACCACGAAGACTGCGATACTCACTGTTTTGCCGAGTTCATTTCCACTTTCGTTGCTTCATCTATCAGTGCTCCCGAAAACCATAGTGCGGCCTGAAGGCTTCGAGGCTGGAGTGTTTGGAGGACGCTTGATAAATCAATGGTTTCATCAACTCTGTCTTGAGACAACGCTACACCCTCAGACAAGGAGAAACAGAGGTGGCGGATGCAAAGCTCCCACTGGGTGGGAAAGCATAGGGAAAAGGTTACCAAAGCCGAGGATAGCTTCCTAACGACCATGGCACCAGAACCGTCGTCCAGTGACCTTACAAACCAGCCTATGAGGTTTTGTAACAACTCCGAAGCATCGCCCTTTGACAGTGAGGAGCTAGTCTCGATGTTAGTAGTGGTGCTGGTCGAATTTGGAAAGGAAATATACAACCTTTCAGTGTTCAGCTTGACAATCAGGGTGAGGGCACCGAAGAACTTGACCTTGTCATCGGCGGAGCCTAAGAGATCACGGGCGATCCACCAGCCGGAAGGGGATCTTTGCATGCGATGTAGCGTCTCTTGGATGCGCGCAATGGTTTCGGGGGACGACGGTTCGTAGAGAGCCGAGACTAACTGTGACGCGACTGTCAGCATCGTCGCTATCTTGTCGAGGATGGGTGCGAGACTCACGGCTTCTGCCTCTTGTATAGTAGATGGCAGCTGGGGCTCCATGTTTGCGTATAATGATGAAGCACTCAAATGTTGGTCCGTTTTGTTCTCATGTTGATACCCAAGTGTATCCTCGAAAATGAGTACGTTCTTCGACGTGAGAAGGCGGGCGCAGTACGGCGTGCGAGGTCAGGATTCGTATTGCTGAGTGCACAGTTTGAAGTTGAGGCTATGGGTAAACATAAATGCAGGCCGAATACCCAAAGTGAAGTGTGAGAAAGCTCGGAGAAGATGCGGGTGGGTCGCCTAGAGGACTAAGTGACACGAGCTTCAGAGGCATTGGACAAATCAACCTCGCGAGGAATAGAAAAAGAAATGGTTTCTACTAAAAAAGAAGAACAAAAAAACTGGGAAATCAACAAGATGAATGCTCTAGATGGTTGCAGATTATTTGTTCTCTTTTCTACAGAGAACCTGGTGTTGCTTCGACTTGCTGCCTTGATTCTGCTCCAAACCGGTTACAAGGGAATAACGCCTATCCAAAAGAATTCCCCTGGTGAGAATCAGCTCAAGTTCCTGTTTATACAATTAAAGAGATGAACAAGTCATGGTAAGTGGGAAGGCACCAGACTGTCTCTCTGTAAGCTTACCTACGTGCCTATCCACCTACCTACCTACCTACCTACCTAAAGTGCATAGGTCCCTAACGTGGTGCCTTGGTACTTCGTACCTACCCACCTTACCACGCCACATGCTCGCACTCCCCGCTGTCTTGAGGGCGGGCGGGCAGTCACGGAAATCTGCCCCTCTCCCTGAACGTGAGCTGGTGCGGGGCACCGTCGAATGTGGAAAGAGCTGGTTCTGTGCATTTGTACCTGTCGTCAAGGCCCACTGTCAGGTAGGTACCTACCTGAGCTGCAGCATTCTCCGGACGTGGAGTCGTCACAGTCACCTGCTGCCCGTGGAGTTAGTTGCCCCCGCGCAGGTCAAGCCACATTGGGTATTCCATTCACCTTTGCCTTAACCTCCGCTTCTTAGAGAAATTACACCGTCCTGGTCGTTCCTCGAGCATCCTCTCCTCATGCTCTGGATCAATCTTCGCCCTACCTTTCGTCTCGTCTGCCGAACCAGCAACCGATTTCCTACAAATAGCCTCAGCGTCTGGGCCTCGCCCGCCCCATCGTCCGCCGGCTTTCATATCTCTTCTCCTGGCCTTTGCCATCGAGCATTACACCAAGTCCCAGCCCGAGATATGGAGCGGATTGACACTACCAGCCGCCTCTCGAGGCTCAGGGAGCTGATGAAGGAGCGCAAGGTCGACGTCTACGGTATGGATAAATCACCGCAAGCCAATCTTCACCCGATTGCGCTGCTGTAGTATTGTTGCTGATCCCCTCCTCTTCAACGTGGTAGTCATCCCCTCCGAAGACTCTCACGCCTCCGAATACATCGCTGGCTGCGACGGTCGCCGGGAATTCATCTCTGGATTCAGTGGCTCTGCCGGCTGCGCAGTCGTCACCTTGGATAAGGCTGCGCTGGCTACCGACGGAAGATACTTCAACCAGGCTTCTAAACAGCTTGATCAAAACTGGTTACTGCTGAAGCAAGGTCTCCAAGATGTTCCTACATGGCAAGAATGGTCTGCTGAACAATCTACTGGCGGCAAGGTTGTCGGTGTTGACCCCGAACTCATCACGGGCTCCATAGCCAAGAAGCTCGCTGAAAAGGTCAAGAGATCTGGCGGCCGTGATCTTCTTCCTTTGGATGAAAATCTGGTAGACCTCGTGTGGGATACTGACCGCCCGGCTCGCCCCAAGAACCCCGTCAAAGTGTTGCCCGAGAGATTCAATGGCAAGGATGTCAAGAGCAAGCTCAAGGACTTACGCCAAGAATTGGAAATGAAGAACTCGCCTGCCTTTGTTGTGTCAATGCTTGACGAGGTTGCCTGGCTTTTCAATCTCCGCGGCGACGACATTCCCTACAATCCCGTCTTCTTCTCATACGCAATCGTTACTCCCGACTCAGCAACCCTGTACGTTGATGATTCCAAGCTCGGAAAAGAGACCCAGGCCTATCTTGCGGATAATGACGTCGCTGTCAAGCCCTACGAAGCCATTTTCGATGCAATTAACGCTCTACGTTCCGAAGTCAAGTCAGCCGAGCCAGCAACTGGAGAGACATCTCAGAGGTTCATGATCTCCAACAAGGCGTCTTGGGCATTGAAGCGCTCCCTGGGCGGAGACGGTCAAGTTGATGAGGTACGAAGTCCTATCGGGGACTCCAAGGCTGTCAAGAATAAGAACGAGATGGCTGGCATGAGAGCTTGTCACATTCGCGATGGCGCTGCCTTGATCGAGTACTTTGCTTGGCTGGAAGACCAGCTTGTAGCCAAGAAAGCCAAGCTGGACGAAGTTGAGGCAGGCGATAAGCTCGAACAGTTGCGCGCAAAGCAGAAAGATTACGTCGGCCTGTCATTCGACACCATTTCCTCGACTGGCGCAAAGTGAGTTCGGTTTTCTCTTGCCTCTGGTGAACATCACTTTGCCTGGGCCATGGCAACACTATGTGAAACCAACCTTCCTGGCTCTTGCTAATCTCTCCCTAGTGCCGCTGTGATTCATTATAAGCCGGAGCGAGGGGCATGCAGCACCATCGACCTCAATTCCATCTACCTGTGCGACTCTGGTGCTCAGTATCTCGATGGAACCACCGATACTACGAGAACCCTGCACTTTGGACAACCTACGGAAGCTGAGAAGCTCGCCTACACCTTGGTGCTCAAGGGAAATATTGCATTAGACACCGCGATATTTCCCAAGGGCACAACTGGCTTTGCGCTTGACTGCTTGGCTCGCCAGCACTTATGGGTATGTGTTGAATCATAGCCTTGACTCGCAGAGATGGGTAACTGACTTTGCTTGTACCTCAGAGAGAGGGCCTCGACTATCGCCATGGAACTGGTCACGGCGTTGGGTCGTACCTCAACGTACATGAGGGGCCCATCGGTATCGGCACTAGAGTTCAGTTTGCCGAAGTCGCTCTTGCACCAGGCAACGTAGTGTCGATCGAGCCAGGATTCTACGAAGACGGTTCATATGGCATTCGGATCGAGAACGTCGCAATGGTTACCGAAGTCAAGACAAAGCATTCCTTTGGCGACAAGCCCTACTTAGGGTTCGAGCACGTCACTATGGTCCCATACTGCCAAAATTTGATTGAGCCCAGTCTCTTGACAGCGGAAGAGAAGGCGTGGCTCAACAAGCACAACGCGGACATCTTCCAGAAAACGAAGGACTATTTCCAGAATGACCCTTTGACCCTAGCGTGGTTGACACGGGAAACGCAGCCTTTCTGAGGCTACCAGGCCTAGAAACGGACGAAGGCGGCGAGAGTAAAGGTAGCTGCAAAAGATAGTCGGAATACAGCATTGTGGAAAGGTTTCGTCAGAATAGCCTTGTTTAGATGTTTCTTCAAACCGAGAAGCTGGGGCAAGTCCAAGCCGTATCGATGCGCAAGCTGTGAAAACGATTATTAGCACGGAAATAAAAGAATCATAACCTGACGAGTGAGCTCTCTGGGGGGCGGTAGCAAGTACATAAACGGTGAACATGGCTAGGCCGGTAAGTAAAACCAGAGTGTGCGATAGGAAGCCGACGAGAAGTCCAGCTCCAAATCCTATGGCAGCATTAACAAGGCACGCCCAACATGAGAAACCCGCTTGGGGGGGGGGATCTTTTACCATAAATGCTGCCGCGCGAAAGCTGCCTCATCGATTCTGGATTCAAGCTTCCATATGAACGGTGATGCTGCACGCGGTTGGGGGACGGCGCGGTCGAGGTGAGATGAGAGCCAAAGTTACCAGGCGTTTGTCGGTAGACCAACGAGTACGCAACGCAAACGCCAGTGCCGATCGGCCAAGCCAGGCGCCGGCCGGCGAATCTTGCTGAAAGGAGGCCGCTCATTGAATCGAATGAGCTCAGATGGAAAACGAAGTTGATCAACGTTGCATCTGGGGAAGGGACGAGGGAGACTCAGCGGGTTGTGTACAAGCGAAGAGTCGGCGGATTATCTGGCACGCTTATTATGTGCACCTTTCTAAGGTACCTTACATTGATTGATTTATGTTAGGTAAGGTACTACTAGCCTAGGTGCCGTGGGCACCTACTACACCTAAGCTGCTCTTCTTTGCCAGAGTACATAAGGTGCATTGTATCACCCTGTGAATGACGTAAGTACAGTTGAACACATCCAATTCATTCAGGTAATTTTCCAACATAACTACCCCGGATACGCCACATTCGAGTCAATTCTCCCGCACGTTGAGGCATATGATCTTCGTCAATTTAGCCACTGTTGTAAGTGTTCATATTGATGATTAAGTCTCGTGCCTATTTTAAAGGATCTCAAGGGCGTCAAGGTATGATACGTCATTGCCTTGACGTTTTTCTACCCATCAACGTAACCTTTCATCTATCCATGTCACACCGCATGGTCATCCCACTAGGTGTTGACACGCGCATCGCTTAGCTTGGTTCAAGTTATAAAGAAGCATCGCCAACGCCTCGAACTCCCCACCCTCAAAAAAAGAAAAGTCAAGAAACCGCCATCCCAGAATGGGTATCCGCACAACCATTATAAAACAGAAACAGAAGCCAGAGAAATTATACATTTCGTGGAAAGGACCCAGCGCAGGGGAGCGAATAGCCGCGAGCAAGGGTAGTCACAACGGCGGCTCGGTCCCCTTTGCCCGTAGCGAGCCCCATAGATCGGTAGTCCTCGTCGACCATGAGAAGCTCAGCCAAGGCCGCCCCACACGCCGCGTATCCGCCTTGCAAGCTGAATATCCTTTTGCATGATGGTGACTCTCTTAGCGTGGATCGCACAGAGATTGGTATCTTCGAAGAGGTGAACCAAGAAAGCCTCGGCAGCTTCTTGCAGTGCTTGTATTGCTTGTGACTGCCACCGCATAGCTTCGCCTCGAGGCCTCACCGACTCAGCAATCTCGCGAACCTATTGGGAAAGTTAGCGTGTGAAGCTCTTGGATATTGACTGGATTCGTCTGAACGTACAAGGCGTGAGAAGGGAAGACGCCGCAGCAGAAGGTCGGTGCCATTTTGGTATTTCCGGATCTCCCTGAGAGCGACCGTTCCTGGTCTGTAGCGTCGCTTTCCTCGATTAGGGATCGGATCGCCAGCTGCTCCTCGTTAGCACCCGTCCTGCGCGACCTGGGTAGCAGGATCCTCACGTTGAATATCGCTCTGTCGCGATTTGCGACGCACAGCGTCTGACTGTCTCTTTTTCGGGGGCATTGTGATAGCTGGAGTTTTCCGAGGTGTGGTGTGCAGAGATCCGCTCGGGAGATCCTATATGGACCGGAGGCAAGTTGCGCGGCGAAAGGAGAGCCGGGGAAGTGCGATGGCAAAGACGAGGTTGCGATAGTGAAGACAGTGACCAATGAATCGTGGGAGAGTCTCGATAGGGATTGCGACAGTAGGGACAGAATAATGAAGGTTAACTGAGCTTCATGTGTATGTTTGACGGATCAGAAACCGGGTTGAGTTTGCAGCTTGGAGGTGATCATGGTGATGTTGAAGGAGTAACGAAAGTAGTCGAGCCACTCTCCCATTCCGACAGGAGTCGAACTGCAGTGCGCTACCAGCCCCGCGATTTTCAGAGAAATTGAAGCTGGACGCGTTTCGCGCGTTTCTTAACGCGTGCCCTTGCTACCCAAGACCACTTTACGCGCACTGCGCCACTTGATGTGTAGGGTTATCGGTTTCAGAACCAGCACTGTGAGGCTGATGAGGGTACCTGTCCGTACCCCCGGGTCCACTGATGGCACGTGAGTGATTAGGTAAGGGAAGGAGCGTCAGTGGACTTCATACAGGCACCTTCGTCGCCCCTCCATCTCCCATCTGGCGAGGTGCCCCAATCCCAAGGCTGGTAGGTACCTTACCGTCGGGTCATTGGTTGCCAAGCTGTCCCCACCTCAGTAAATTGTTCGGCATCAACCGTCGTCAGCGCTCCAAGTACCGACCGTGCCAGCGTGCCTACCTAAGGTATTTCCCACCGCCTACTCAGAGGCCACCTCTCCGGATGGATATCATACCTGCACCAAGCTGGGCGATTACTCGTACTGTCACTCTCTCTAACTCCAGTCACTCACCAAAGCTGGCGACTTGTCTGACCGTTTATTCCGATCCAACTACGTCCTTCCGTGTGATCGCGGTCAGTCATTCGGCCTTCCCTGTCGACAAAGATCAAACGTGGTGTCATCCATCGTCCCCGACGCTTTGCAACGCCCCCACCTAGACGCTCAGACGATCAAGATACTTAGACGGCATTTCACACCCTTCGATTCTCTCACAGCTCCGACACACCAGGCAATGAGTGCAATTGCTTTACCAAATAATCTCTGCCTTTGAAGCGCTCTACCCGCGATCCGCTACGCACCATGGACCAGATGATGGGCGACGGGGGCCGATTCCCCCTTGAGACGTGGTTCTGGGAGATGCCCATATGCACCAGATGGTGGACGACGGCGACCGTTCTGACTAGCGCTCTCGTTCAATGTCAAATGGTTACTCCTTTCCAGCTGTTCTACAGCTTCCGCGCTGTTTTCGCCAAATCCCAGGTTCGCCTAACCCCCCCATTCTTCAGTTTTTGTTGCGCGTTCCTCGCAGCCGCATGACAAGCTAGTTCTCCCCCCAAGATATCTGGACAATCGCTGATCACTCTGAATACCTTCATAGTACTGGCGTCTTCTGACCACGTTCCTCTACTTCGGTCCATTTTCTCTCGATCTGCTATTCCACGTCTACTTCCTCCAGCGCTACGCTCGATTACTCGAAGAGTCCTCTGGCCGCTCTCCAGCACACTTTTCCTGGTTGCTTGTTTACTCCATGGCGAGCCTTCTTCTCTTATCGCCGCTGGTCTCGATGCCGTTCTTGGGCCATCCACTCTCGTCAACACTCGTTTACATTTGGTCGCGGCGTAACCCAGATACCAGATTGAGCTTTCTTGGACTGCTAGTCTTCACAGCCCCCTACCTACCGTGGGTCCTGATGGCTTTCAGTCTTATTCTCCATGGCTCTATTCCTAAGGATGAAATTATGGGCGTAGTGATCGGTCACATCTGGTACTTCTTCACTGATGTGTACCCGCCTTTGCACAATGGGTCGCGCCCATTCGATCCCCCAAGCTGGTGGAGGAGGCTTTTCGAGAGACGGCAGGTGGAGGAGACAGCGGATGGCATCAACAATGAGATTGCCATTGCCGGGGGGCCAGAGCTTGCTGCTGATGTCCGATGATGGGACATACTGGGCAAGTCTATGGGTGAATGCCAAACAAGGCGGGAAAAGTTGATGGAATTGGCAATATTTGCATGGTTCTTGGCGTTGGGGTATCAATATCGCCATCCTACGGCACATTTGTTTGTATCCATGCATGGTCTTCGGCAACGAAGCGCCTTGGCTTGAATCTGCCACGAAGCATAGATACCCCAGAGCTGACTTCCACACTTGACAGTTATGACAGGGGAAAGCACATGTCAACTTGCCCCATGCGTTGATTGTTGGCTGTGCCCTGTTCTCTTTGCAACGTGTAATTTCCCTTGTCTGGCAACAACTTGTTCTGCTCTCTCTTCCGCCGTCTGCACGCAGCACGCAGAGCGCGATGAACGAAAAAGGGCTACTATAACTCAAGTTGCAATTTGGCTGACTAAGGTAGTTCTTCAGGTTGCCAGATCGCATGACGGGCTCTGGCCATCTTGACCTCCATTCAAGGTTGCTGTTTAGATGGTGGGGTCCAGCCCGGAACGACCTATGGCAGCCCCACGTGCTGCTGAAAGGACGGACGACCTAACGACGTGCTTTATTTCCAGTACCTACCTCTTTTGATGACCCCACCTGCTGAGCCAATTGCGTCATTTCAAATGCAAAAAAGTGAACTCGACCTCATTATTGCCTCCAAAGCGCATTCAAATTAGCAATTAAATATTGTTGCCAACCATAAAACCTTTTGATAATCGACCCTCCGGAATATTATTGAATCAGTCTTCTTGCTGCAAAGGCTACACAGACGTGTAAAGATTCTCAGTCCCATCGTCATACAACTCTCAGGCTTGCAATACGCTACCAACTCACCAACATGAAGGCTTATTGGTATGACGGTCTTGATGTAAGTCGCGGATGAGTTCTTTAAATTTTGCAGATTGAGCAAAGCTAGAGTCCTTGGTAGTAGTTCTTTACTGACTGTTTTTGACACCACAGGGTGACCAGCGCCTGGCACATGACTCTGGCAAGGAGGTTACCGTCGAAGACCTGAAGAAGCTTGGTGTCTTTTACCATCAAATCCCTGATTTGGATGGGGTCAACCAGCTGGCGTCGGACCGCGGGTACCGAAACAGAGACGAGATTGTTGTATCACCAGAGAAGATGGGCGAGATTTATGAGGAAAAGGTCAAATCCTTCTTCCATGAGCACTTGCACGAGGATGAGGAAATTCGCTATGTTCGCGACGGTCAAGGCTTCTTTGACGTGAGGAGCGTTGATGACGCCTGGGTTCGTATCCGTGTCGAGAAGGTAATAGTGCTATCATGTATATCGACAGATGGCGCTGCGGCCGGCTGACTATTGGCAGGACGACTTAATCATCCTGCCTCCTGGCATCTACCACCGCTTCACAACCGACGAGTCCAACGTAAGCAATGTTCACATATACAGAGGTGACACGATTTGCTAACAATCCATAGTACATCAAGGCAATGAGGCTCTTCAAGGATGAGCCCAAGTGGACTCCTTTGAACAGGACGAAGGATCTTGACGTGAACCCGCACAGGAAAGAGTACGTTTCGCAATACATTCAGAACGGCGTGTCAGCATAGGCAACCAGCCAAGGACGTGGTACACGTAGTAGAGTTTGTGGCTCTAAGCGAAGACCATGGATGAGGTAGTGGGAGTATGAAGATGCTATATGTCACTTGTTGAATCTTTTGCACTCTTAACTTGTGTTTAAGTACGGTGAATATCCCTCTTTGCTCCTTCTTGACCGATTTATACTCGGCAGACAGGCGTTGAACTGGGCAACGCCTTTCCCACCATCTCCCTCCATCGCACGACGAAAACGAGATGAGATTTGACGAGATTTGTTGGATAATTGCTGTGTCGGTGCCGAGGCTTCATGGATACTACGTTGAACCGACAGTACGATTATTCCGTCAAACGAAGACCTGCCTGCCAACCCTAAGATGCCAGTACCTGAAATGCAAGCGTTGGTTCAATCACACCTGGCTCTCCCAGCTTGGGTGCTCTTCTGGAACCAGTAAATAGTATTGAATAATCACCGTATGACCTTGGCTATCATGAGGAGGCGATGCGGGAATCGCCCAACACCCTATGGCTGAGTCTGGTCGAAACGGGCCCGAGAAGCTAATTATAGATACATGAACTCATGCTCCGTACCCAGTTGCTTAGGTATGCATGTATCGGGATATCACTCGAGATTGAAAAGGGGATACGGGGAAGTGGGGTACGGATATACCGCGTACTGATCTACCGAAATCGCCGGGTTCATTCAGCACTGGTCACTTTGCAGCCTTCAACAACCGAATCCTCATCGGCCTTGGTGTTATTGGCGCAGACAAGTGTACTTTGCCCGGGCATGTAATAAACCATATCCAAGGCCACCAATATTTGCTTTTGCGCTTCACATTACCTCTCCTCACACATGGATGCGCTGAGCAAGTCGGAAATTCCATTTTCCCCTTCGTACCTGACCCTACGGGAGTTACTAGCTCGGTTATCTGCACTTCCGAAAACAACCAGCATTTTACCGTCCCCCTTCCATTCATCTCACACTCAAAAGTGCATCTGGTAGACCCTTTCCGTGACAAACGGGCTGCAACGACTGCTCCTCTGGAGACTGCTTCCATACCGACTGTCAAAAGGCCTTGAGTCTGTCTACAGAGCTGTGTAAAGCCCGCAACAACACCCAGAGGTTATAAACCGAGCACCATGGACGTATGTAGTGAGAACAGCGGGACTCCCGCCGACGGGCCATCAAGAGTGAAGCTCCAGCTCCCAGCTAGCTGTGATCCACCACAACTTGATGGCGAGAGAAAGCAGCTGGTCTGGGTCGTAAGTGATGGGACACCCTCATCCTACTTTCTGATGTTGACTAAGCACTTCCTGTGCAGGTATTCGGTGGAACCGGCCACATGGGTAGATCTCTCGTCAAATCTGCCTTGTCCAAGGGAGATCTTGTCACTTCCGTGGGCCGCGTCTTTGAGACGACTCCAGAGGAAATGGTTGCGCAGCAGGACAATGAAAATTGCCTGGGGATGCTGTGTGACGTTCGAGCGAGAGACTCGGTAGCGCGGGTCATTGAACGGACGTTGGAGCGGTTCCAGCGATTTGACGTTGTCGCCAATTGTTCTGGCTATGGCGTAATCGGAGCATGCGAGGACCAGGACGAGCACGAAATTCGCAATCAGTTCGAGACGAACTTCATGGGTACTTTGAATATCATCCAGGCCAGCCTACCCTACTTTCGCCAACAGAACGGCGGCCGTTACCTGATCTTCAGCTCGACGTCAGGAGCTCTGGGCGTTCCAGGCCTTGGCCCGTATTGTGCTACCAAATACGCCGTCGAGGGACTCATAGAAGCTATGCTCTACGAGACAGACTCATTCAACGTCAAGGCAACACTAGTAGAGCCAGGGTTTGTTCGAAGGGACGAGCCGGACACCCTTGCAACGCCGTTGCCAACCTGGGGCCACTTCCTTATCAAACCTGCGAGCGAGGCTTACGCGCAGGCGACATCACCAGCATTGCATGCCAAAAGAATGGTCCAGTGGCTCGGTGACCGTCAGCCAACAAGCGCCGTCAAGTGCGCGGAGCTTGTCTGGCAGTTGGCTCACTGCTCGTATCCCCCGTTGCGGCTCCTCCTAGGAAGCTATGCAATAGAGAGCATCCGCGATAGGCTGCGGTCTGTCACTGAAGAACTAGAGGATTGGAAACATCTGAATTTCCCCGCGCCGCCTGATGAAGGGGAGGGAAAGGAGGCTCGGGCAGATCAAGATGAAAGCATGGTCGACTCTGGGCAGGATGCGCCTGGCCAGGGAACGGCGTAAAGGTTGTGTGTCGAGCCACTGCAAACTTCCATTGTCAACTGGGATCAGTGGCTCCTGTGTGAAGTATCCCGCAAAATGCAATGCGCAAGCATGGTACTCCCCGTACGGCGTACTCCAAGCTTTGATATGTAGACATCGGGTTAGATACCTACCTAGGTATTCTTCTACCAAAGAGCAGTACGAATACCTATCTCGGCACCTTTGGTAGGCAGGCCGGGATAGGCACGCCGAAAAACAGAGCAAGGGGCTTATGTAATTCTGAAGAAGAAGAAAAGCAAATAATAAATAAAAAACATGCTGGGGCACCGTGACACTTTCCCTGACTGCCTGTGTCGAATTGGAATGGTGCACCCCGGGGCTGCCAGGTGTCCAGTGCCCATGGTCCCTTGTATTTATCCCTTCTTGCGAAAGATACTTCCTTGGCTGCTTGGCTGGGCTGTCGCGGGTGGTATTATGGGAGCTTACGTGCCCCAAAATTTCTCCACCTGGCCTGTAGAGAGCACTAAGGCAATCCAATTTGAGGTGAGATTCCGTGACCCTTGATAGGTAGGCGCACGCGTGTTCCCCTGCGTTCCCGTCCCGTCCGTTCTAATGCCCAAGAGCATTTGACCCCCTTAACCTGCGTTTTCTTTCTCGTCCCTAGATCTTCAGCATCGCTTCCCCAACAGCCAGATCACCTCGTCCGCAGACAACGAAGCGTGGAGGACTGCAATAACGACTCGATCAACCCATCACTACCTCCTACCTCGTCGACTTCGCGAAACGATTGTGCACGAGTCTCCCCATCACCGAATCCCGGCGCATTCGCAAGCTCCAAGGCCGCGTCCTTCGCCAAAATCGTTGAAGCCAGCTTGCTTCCACTTCCAACCTCACATACCGTCCAGACAAGTGTACACCAAGCGCCATCATGTCGGACAAGAAGAACGAGGATTACGAGCTCCGTCCCTCCGAGTCGTTTGGAGAGAAGGATGGCTTTCTGGCTCGACCTCCCGCGAGGCCGCGTCCTGCTCTTGGATCGCCAATCAGCAAGATCGACAACAGTCCCGGCGCTGCCATCCTCGCATACTGCTTCTCTTCCATCAGCATGACGGTCGTCAACAAGTACGTCGTGTCCGGTCAGTTCTGGAACTTGAACTTTCTATACCTTGCTGTCCAGGTGCGTTCGATTCAGGCCAAATCCACCGTCTCGGTCTCGTCTAACCCAACCATGCTATCTCTAGTCCATCGTGTGCATTCTCACCATCGTCGTCTGCAAGAACCTTGGAATGATTACGAACCTGGCGCCATTCGACACTGACAAGGCAAAGAAATGTTGGTCATGTCCTACGTGATGCAGGCATCGGCCGAAGCTTACAATATGCAGGGTTCCCTATCGCACTCCTCCTGGTGGGCATGATTTACACAGGCACCAAAGCCCTGCAATTCCTCTCTGTGCCAGTCTACACCATCTTCAAGAACCTGACCATCATCGTCATTGCGTATGGTGAAGTGTTGTGGTTCGGCGGCAGTGTCAGCCCTCTTGCCCTTCTCTCTTTTGGCCTGATGGTCCTCAGCTCCGTTGTTGCCGCCTGGGCTGATGTCCAGCACGCCCTGGGAGGTGGCTCGCAGTCTGCCGAAGCGTCTGCCGCCGTTTCGACCTTGAACGCTGGGTACGCATGGATGGGTATGAATGTTTGCTGCACTGCGGCTTACGTGCTGGGCATGCGCAAAGTTATCAAGAAGATGAACTTCAAGGACTGGGACAGTGAGTTACCCTCAATGCTGAGACATGGCCCCGTGATTAGGAGAAATTACTGACGAGTTTCATGAAGCCATGTTCTACAACAACCTATTGACGATTCCCGTCCTGATCGTTTGCACCCTCCTCGCCGAAGACTGGTCGTCGGCAAACATTGAGAAGAACTTCCCCGTCGAGTCTCGCAACAGTCTGTTTGTCGGCATGATCTACTCGGGACTCTGCGCTATCTTCATCTCATACTGCTCTGCATGGTGCATCCGTGTAACATCTTCAACGACATACTCTGTGGTTGGCGCACTCAACAAGCTTCCCATCGCCATCAGTGGTCTGGTCTTCTTCGACGCCCCTGTCACATTTGGCAGTGTGTCGGCCATTGTTGTGGGCTTTATCAGCGGAATTGTCTACGCGTGGGCAAGGATCCGTCAGACGGCGGCTTCCAAGATGTCATTGCCGACGACGCAACCCATGAGCGCGAGCTCGCAGAGCAATAGGGATGCGAACAAGTAATAGCAGCCAGTATGGAAGGTGGCGGGACTATAGACAAGATTGGAGCGTAGCTTGTCCGCGTAAGAACCTTGAGTCAGCGGCACGCTGACGACGGCCGTTATCTATCCCAGTTTGGACAGCCGGCCGTGCAGGAGTGATGGCCGAGGATGCAATAGCATGTGACGCCGGCCAGCATCAGCTTCGCTCTGCTCTCGAGGTCAGAATAGACAAGAAAACTTGTGCCGCAATGCATGCTCAGCCTTTGGGATATGGGCGGAAGAACGGAATAAGAAGAAGCACGAGAGATAAGATATGAACAGGCGTGTTAGAATACTGCAACATTTCGTTTGCTGACGAAATGAATGTGGAACGATAGTACAGTACTCCGGACGATGTAGCAATGTTGTAATGTCATGACTCTGATTCTACACGGGCCTTAACAGCCTTCCCAAGATCCGTTGTGAAAGAAAGGGTTGGGCCGGGGTCGACAAGACTGCGATCCATTTTAAGGTGGTTTTATTCAACAAGATGTGGCGGTGAGTTTGGTTGAGAAGCTGAAAATTCCGAGGCGCCCCAATCTGACAGCACCTAGGCAGTGCACCCACGTCAAAGCTTGGTGCTGGGCAGCTTGCTCCATGTGCTTTGAGGTATGATACGGTTTTCAAGAGAGAAAACTCGAGCTATCAGCGTGTCTTTTGCTAGGTGGCTAAAGTAAGGTACCTAGGTAGGTAGCGTCGGCACCTGAGCTTAGCTGCCACGCTGCCCCAAGGTAACTGTCTGGTGAAGAAGGAAGCAATGGTGGTTCTTCCTAAAGCTTGTGGCCGACACACGTGGGGCCTTCCTTCGAGAGCATACCTAGGTATTCGTACAGGCTACCAGCAATCAGGATCCCGTCGTGACATCACCCTTCACCGTAGGTAGGTACCTTAAGTACCTTAGGGTGTGAGGCAGGTGGTAGATAGCAGGCTCTAGCTTCACGGGTGCGTCCTGACTGGGCTCTAAGCTACCTTCAGCATGACTTCGGCAGCAGAACCGCGAGGGAAACCTTAAATAATTTAAATCTATAATATTATACTTATATTTTTATTACAGTTTCTATCAAAACCCTAGAAAGAATATAAGTTATATTTAAATTAAAGTCTTTTAAAAATATATTTATAAATCTTTTAAAAAAATAATTAGAAACAAAACTATAATTATATCATACATTGATTCAAGGATAAATAGAGAAAATAGACTTAGACTTCTGTACTGTTCACTGTTCCCGGTTCTGAATTTCTTTTCCTAAATGGGTGGGGGTTAAGAGAAAATTAAATTCCGTTGGCATTGATGGTGGGGGGAGAAGTTCTAGGGACTGCCTCCACTACCTATCCCCCTCCCCCTTGCGACCTGAGAATGGCCGGCCCATCGCCAACAGGTCCACGTGCCATTTCAGCCGTCACACGAAACCGTTGTTCTTTTTTTCTTCTTAAGACGATCCGCAATCACAGCTGCTTTGCCATAACCAGCTGTTTCCAGCTTTAGCTCCCGTCCCGTCATCCGAAGTTGGCACGCCGCCACATGATCCCGACATCTATCACCAAAGCCAAAAAACCTCAGTTGACAAACCCCCAGCCCATCGCTCACTCCCCCTCGGCGTAGGGTTGACCTCTCCGAGCCTCCACCTCTCGGTGTTTTGCCTCTCCTTTAAATCGTTCCCCAGGAGCTATGGACTGAGCGTTTCCTCGACGTCTTTTCTTACTACAACTCAGCCTTGCACCTTCTCGTCGTTGTCGGATCCATTCAATAAGTGGCAGTGGCCGTCAAAGCCAACATGTTGCCATTCATTCATAAGCGTACGTATCATGCGCCCTCGACTAACATCTTCTCGATTGTTTCTATGTTGGCTTCTTCCACTACCGAAGCCTCTCTTGCTAACTTTTCTTGACTATGCAGCTTTCGAGCTTCTCGCTTCGCGCATCGGCGCATCTCCAGACGAACGTCGGTCCCTCCTATCAAGCTCGACTACATGGCGAAGCTCTCCGAACCCTCGTTCCCAACAGAGCACCAGCACTGACACCTCGATTTTACAGTGAAGCTCGTCTTCTCGTTCCTCATATCATACCCACTAGCCGGCTTGCTCAAACGAGTTCCCGACTCTAGGCCTGACCTCAAAAACCTCTTCATAATAAGGTATGCTTTCCAGCAGATACCCACATCTGTCTTCCTACTGGCCATGTTGTTGACACTTTGGCTCTTGGAATAGTACCTCCACTTTCTATCTGGTCGGCCTTTTCGACTTGTGGGATGGAGTGCGCACTCTTGCCATAGCCTCCGCCGGCATCTACAGCATTGCGAAGTACCTGCGCACTAGCCCATTCATGCCATGGATCGGCTTCACGTTTCTCATGGGCCACATGTCCATAAGTCACATCGCTCGTCAAGTAGCCAACAGCCCGTCTTCTGCCGATATCACTGGCGCCCAGATGGTACTTCTGATGAAGCTTAGCGGTTTCTGCTGGAACGTCGCCGATGGTCAGCTACCGGACGACCAGGTATCTGATTACCAGAAAGAAAGAAGATTGATCGAACTTCCAAGTATAATGGACTATGCTGGATACGTACTATTCTTCCCTTCGCTCTTCGCCGGACCTGCTTTCGACTATACCGACTACCGCAAATGGATAGACACCACAATGTTTGACCTTCCGGCCCAGGTCGACCCCTCAAAGAAGCCTCCTGTCAGGAAGAAGAGAAAGATCCCTCGGAGTGGCACACCTGCTACTTTGAAAGCTGCTAGCGGCCTGGGGTGGATTGCGCTCTTCATGATCCTCTCTGGTTACTTCCCAATCACCTACTTAACGAGCCCTGCGTATATGGATCATGGGTTCTTCCACAGGGTCTGGATTCTTCACATGGTCGGGTTTACGGCCCGTTTGAAATACTACGGAGTTTGGTGCTTGACCGAGGGCGCTTGTATCTTGGCAGGCCTGGGCTATAATGGCGTTGATCCTGTCACCGGCAAAGTGTCATGGAACAGATTACAAAACATCAACCCCTGGGGTGTCGAGACAGCCCAAAATACGCGCGCCTACCTTGGCAACTGGAATATCAACACCAACAACTGGCTGAGGAACTATGTATACCTCCGGGTCACGCCTGTTGGGAAAAAGCCTGGATTCCGCGCAAGCCTTCTCACGTTCAGTACCAGTGCCCTCTGGCACGGCTTTTATCCCGGCTATTACATGAGCTTCATCCTCGCCAGCTTCATCCAAACCGTAGCCAAGAGTAAGTACACCTTTGAGAGAGCCGCTAGAGAGCCAAGGCGAGTGCTATGATGGACTAACGACTAATGATAGACTATCGCCGCTACTTTCGGGCTTTTTTCCTCGACGCGAGCAGCGGTGCGCCCACCTCCAACAAGGTCTACTATGACATCGTCTCGCTTTTCGTTACTCAGATCGGCATGTCCTTCGTTGTCAGCCCTTTCCTTGTGCTAGAGTTCTCCGGCTCGGTCCAGGTGTGGGCTCGTGTCTATTTCTATACCATAGTCGGCACTGCGCTTTCCATGGCCTTCTTTGCCTCTCCGGCAAAACAGATCCTTCGCAAGCAACTCGAGGCACGTCAAGGCAAAGGCGGTGCCAAGCTGACCCGTACTCTGAGCTCAGACAGTCTTTCAGGCCGGGAACCGGTCTTGGGTGTGTCGGCCGACCCTCAGCGGGAGATCGACGAGGCCATGGAGGAAATCAAAGCCGAGGTGGAAGCTAGACAAAGAAGCAAAGCTGCTTAAAGGACACTGACAAGGGCGCCATCTCTGTAGAGAATTGTTCTTGTCTCCGTCTAGAGGCCCTTGTTCCTGCAAATGCGAGAACAACGTTAATGGAGGAAGAGCTATCGTCAAAGTTGCGAATTGGGCGGGTCAGTGTGGTGTAAGAAGCCCTCAAAGGGCAGGTCATTAGACATTGCAGGCTATGCAGATCTAAAACTAAACCATTATAATATGATGTCTATATCCCACAACAGTAACGTGATGCCACTGTCTGGCTCGTCTCAAACCACCCAACACCAATGCCAGCATGTTGACTCCCGTGTAAAGCCAAGGGGGGTATCGTCAAGCAATCCAAGTCGCCCAACGAGAAAATCAAAAGGAAATGCCATCATGTTGTCATCAGGGGTACGGCCCAATCTGGCCAGGTGTACAATTACAGCGGACTATATAAGGCTGGCAGGCGTCGTCGTGCGGAGCCATTAGACTATATGGTAGAAATGGCCGGATGGTCGGCTGCCGAGAAAACTTGGTATGTGCATGTCTATATGAGAAAAAAATAACTGATGTCGTAGATTCGTGAAGGGATTAAGTCGTTACCCCAGTCGTAATGCCGATGCGCTGAATTTCAACGGCCAATGATGCTTTTGATGAGTACTCACTTTTTTGCCGAGGCCGAAAGCTGTGTACCGCGGCGTGTTCGAGCACCAGACCTCTTGTTCGAGGTGGTGCATAGAGCTAGAAAGGAGGTGGCAGGGGACAGGCGGCTACGCCATTTGGCCCCAGCCTTGCTTTACGCCGACGACAACGAGAGCCGCAATGGCGCCGACGACGAGAAGACCGATGACGGACATGTACCGATTAAGTGCACGCCACCAACGGGCGCTTTGGAAGAGGGTCTCGTCGACCGCTGCAACTCGCCGAGGAAGGTCTCGTTCTTCGTCTATCAGGCTTGATCTAGGGTCGCGCTCGGCCATCTCAGCTTGAGGGTCCGGGGGCAGCGGAAGGAAGGCAGCAATCATCCATGCTGGCTAATGTTAGCCTTGTCAATACAGTGCCGTTAAGTAGGAGTGCCTCACCAAATGGGAATATAAATCCCAGAGCGAAGAAAGCAACTTGCACGTTTCGCTTGCCCAGCATGCTTGTCTCGCCAGACCACGTCATGGAAGGTGGCTCCCAGATGCTGTGACGACCAGCCCTCTGATCACGCCGCAAGTGGGGTGACCAGATGCTGGATGTTTTCTTTCTTAACCCGCTGCGCATTCGGTTATCCGTTAACGGCGCTTGGTTGATCTCCATGGAGCCGACATCTGACAATGGCCGAGGGTTGGCAAGATTTACCTCCCTTGGCCGCCGCCTGGGGCTGTAGATGTTCATGGCGAGCTGTTCAACACCGGGGGAATGGCTTTGGAACGAGCTGGGTGGCCGGCTGTCATTCGGATCCGACATCATCGAGTCTCCTGAGCTGGCAAGGAATCGACGTTCCCCGCTCCCGTAGTAGAATCTATAAGTGGGCGATTACGTTAGCTTATGGCCCGATTTCTGAGATCACACTGCTTCCTGCAGGATATCGGGTTCACTTACTTGGCCCAAGTCGGAATGGACGCCGAGTTAAGGCTATTCGCACGGGAGCTACTAGAGGAGTGAAGGTTCCGATCCGATGAGGAACTCGAGAAGAAGCTTGAAAGGCCGGTCCGTGAAGGACGTTGATGAAGCTGGTTCAGCTCTGCCAGGCCGTCGCCATGTTCATCTCGATCAGTAACCATACGAAGCGTGTTCCCTCTGCTGTGTGTAGCTTGAGGGCGTTCAAGAGAATCCGTAAAGGATCTTGAGTGAGAAAGTGAGCGCTCCTCGTTGGCAGCTAGCGACGATGAAATGCTGAGCATCTGCCGGCTATGGCTGCTCAAAGGTATGCTACCCCGTCTTCCAGGCACAGACCATGGTGACACGGAACGTGAAGGAGGCTCGCTGTCCCCCTCACTCTCCGAAATAACGGTGGATAGTTGTGAGCTCCATTGGTGAGGATGGGTGGTCATGTGGGATTCAGCAGGAACAGAAATGGGGGCGGGTCCCGTTGGCGCAGCTTGCGCGTCAGGCTGCCGACCTGGCTGGCTGGCCAGAACACGGGATCGATAAAATGCGGCAGGAGATGCGAGGAAACTCTGGGCTGCTTCGAGAGTGAGTGAGCCAGAAATCGACTTCACCGACGCTGCACGGCGTAAAGAATCCCTCGATCGCGACTTGTAATATCCAAACCTCTCGTTGGACCTCTTCTTCGCCTTGTAGGGTTTCAGCGGGGCCACCAAAAGGCTTTCCTGCGAGTACTCGGGCCTGATACGGGAACGACGGCTAGAGGCCACAGATGATGGTGCTGGGGACGATGCGCCGAGCACAACGTAGTTTTGTTCGCTATCGGCCGTCTTTGGGGGACTTCTCTCGGCAGAAGAAGGCTCTGGAGGTGAAGACCGGCCGAGAACTACGTAGTTGGAGTGACTCGATGATGGCGGCTGCAACGACTCCTCTCGTTCGGGCGAAGAAGGTAAGCTGGAGCCGAACACCTTGTAGTTTGTCGTCTCTGAGGTCGTCGATGGCGCATGTAAAACGCTGTCGGCGTCGGTTGCCTGGGGTGAATTGGAGCCGTAGACTTTGTAGTTGGTCTTTTCTGAAGACGTGGACGCAGTGACGGATGACTGAAATGAGGTTTTGGGCTGCAAATCGTGAGGGTCGGAAGATTCAGACGAATCAGTGGCAGGGGCCTCTGGCAGCGGCGCGAGTCGAGAGCCTGATGGGGATGACTGGTAGGATGGGGCTGGATCGGATTCCGGGTAGAGTAGCGTCGACTTTTGCTTCTGCTTGAGATCGGGAGTGTTGGGAACCTTGCGTAGGCCACCGACCATTCGATAGTTCCAAGGAGACGACGTCGAAGGCCCGGCTGTGCTAGTAATAGAATCACCTGCTAATTGCGTTGTCGAGGATGCCGGGGTTAACGTGGATGCGAAGCTTTGATCCGGGTAGGAAGTCACGGTTGAGCTGGGACGATTTTCACTGAAGGCGTCTGAAAGGCGCTCATGCGAGGCGGTAGTCGAAAGTGATAGCCTTGGGGCGGTGCTAGAGGCATGGTCTCCTTGGGTTCCGGCCCGCTGCCCCTGAGGCAAGAGGGAGAAGGTCTTGCCGTCGGCGTTGAGCGTAATGAGATTGCGACGACGGGACAAGGGGCGCTTCGCTGAGGGTGTGACAGGCTCGTTGTCGGCGCTGCGCTGGGTAGACCGGGATCGTGCATTAACGTGGGAAATATCAGTCTGATGTGGTGGAGTGGTAGGGACAGGGGTGGTGGGGGACGATTCGTCGCCGGGCAAGGAGTCGGATCGCAGTTTCGAGCCTGAAACACCGCTATCCCTGGCGCTCACCAATGGGAAGGTTGAAGAGGCTGGTGATAGCACCGAGGTTCGTGTGCTAGAGGATTGAGACCGTCTATGAGAATAGCGGTCGCTGGCACGGCTAGCGGTGCGGTCGTCGGTCCATGAAAAGCTGGTGTGATCGTAACCTGAAGGGTTTGGAGAAAGCAGTGCGGTGGTCGATGTCGGAGTGCGTGATGATGAAGCCGAGGCGGTCGAATCTCGATTTTTGTCGCTTGGACGAGGCGGGCTGTAGGGGACGATGCGGATGGCTAGGGAGTTGGACTGGGAATTGGAGCGCTCATGTAGCGGCCTCCGATGGGACCGGGAAGGGCTGCCCCGGGAGGGGCTCCCAGACCCGGACCCGGACCCGGACATGCTCCGTTAGGGGGCTGCGGGAAGATGGAGAAACCGGTGGCTTTCGCAGATGAGCGTAAGCGTCGAGGCGGGTGGTCTTGGTCGGCGTGGGGTATCCGGGCCATGGAGTGCGAGTGGCACCCAAGCTTAACGGGGGATAAGATGATCGCGGGAGCAAGGCGGGGGGCCGAGCGCAATGGGATTCTCGGAGCGGCTGACTCGCCGAGACCAGCACGGCTACGGTGAACAATTGTGACGGACACCGATCCGGTCTGTGCCCTAGCTATCTCGAATTAAAGTGCGGTGAGGAACATTCACAGTTGGCTTTGATTGTGCAAATTCCGGCAGTCGTGGTCATGCGGCGCCGTTAGGGAGTGGTGTGTGTGGAAGTAGTTGGTTGTTGTAGCTTGGGGCGGTCAAAATGCGCATTGGTTTTCAAATTTTCTGAGGGGATTGCGTCGAGGAGGGCTTCGTCGAGTCGGATGCGTCTAATGTCGTCGGGGAACCGGAGAGGTTCTGTGTTGTTCCGACTTGAGTGGGTTGGCCCAAATGAAAATGGTTCAAGCTCATGGGAGGGCGGCTCCTCTTCATTAAGGTGGTTGTACGAATGTGTAGTGATTGAGAGAGTGTCGTCGATGGATGGCGCGTGGCGTTGCGTGACTGGCCTTTTCTCGTCGATGGTTTGCGTGTGTTGCGTGTGGAGTGGCCGCAACGTCCAAAATTGGGTGAAACGAGTGAGTGATTGACTGGGTTCGAGGTGATGCGTGAGATAAGGTACTATAGTGATAAAAGATACTGGCAATGAACAAGAATGGAAAAAGGCAAAGAAAAGACGTCACGAGGGACGATAAATGAGGGTGGGTGATTATTACAGGCGAAATGGCCTTGAGATGCAACTGAACAGACGAGACAAGAAAAAAGACGTCGGCAAGCACGACGAAAGATGGGCAGGCAGGCCGGAGGAGAGAGAGAGGGCGAGAAGGAAGGGTAAAGAAGGGAAAGAATTTCGGGAGCGTCAGGTAAGAAGAGGAGTAAAAAGACGAGAAAAGACACCACGGCCACTCGGTATGGGCAGACGACATTAAGGTACCTTTAGGTGGGCACCTCTAGACTCTGGCTGCCATTGCTATGGAGGTGGGCAAGAAGCTCTAGCCTCCTCCCCTCTGGGTTTCTGGTGCAGCGGTGGTGCTCTGCAAGCCTGCAAGTGCAAGGTAAAGGTGACTGACTGTGTGTGTGTGTGGGAGAGATAGGCACGCCAGGCTAGGTACGGAT